TCCTTAGCACATGCTGCAACTACATCAGATGACACAGCTACATCAGAGGAACCTCATCTGGTAAATGAGCACCCCGCTGCTTCCACTGCTATGTTTGCTGAGACAGGTAACTCTGGCAAATGCTTTGTATCATCCTCCTCCAAATGGGTCATTGATTCAGGTGCCTCAGCTCAAGTCACAGTAGCTGATGGATCTATCTCCCAAATAATTGGGTCTGGCACTGTTAAATTGTCCCCATCTGTCTCATTATCCTCAATCCTGAGCCTACCAAAATTTTCTTTTAACTTACTATCTGTGAGCAAAATTACTCGCACTTTGAATTGTAGTGTCTCATTCTTTCCTGATCATTGTGTCTTTCAGGATTTGCAGACGAAGAGGATTATTGGTAGAGGACGGGAGTCGGATGGCCTATACATATTTGAACCACCCAAACCATATTCCTTGGCAAGTTCCAGTTTATCATCTCCTTTTGAAGTTCATTGTCGACTAGGTCATCCTTCATTACAGAGTCTCAAGAAGTTGTGTCCTGAATTTTTCCGTTTACAGTATTTACAATGTGAGTCATGTCAGTTTGCCAAACATCAACGTGTTCACTTAAGTCCTAGAGTCAATAAGCGGGCTGCGTCTCCATTTCAATTAGTACATTATGATGTCTGGGGCCCATGTCCTGTAACGTCTAAGTCTGGTTTTAAGTATTTGGTTACGTTTGTAGATGATTATTCTCGAACTACTTGGTTATACTTCATGAAAAACCGTTCAGAAGTGTTTAATCATTTACGTTCCTTTCATTCTGAAATCCAAACTCAGTTTCAAACATCTATTAAAACCTTACGAATTGACAATGCAAAAGAGTATGTATCTCAACAAATTCAATCCTATATGTTGCAAAATGGTATCCTTCATGAGTCCTCATTTGTTGATACTCCAGCACAAAATGGGGTGGCCGAACGAAAAAATCGTCACCTCCTTGAGGTTGCCCGAGCACTTCTGTTTCAGATGTCCGTCCCTAAGTCTTTTTRGGCMGATGCGGTATCAACAACCTGTTTTCTTATCAATAGAATGTCGTCTGTTGTCCTGAATGGAGAAACTCCATTCTCTGTTTTGTTCCCAGGACAACGATTATTCCCTATTGAGCCAAAGATCTTCGGTGTTACATGCTTTATTCGGGACACACGCCCCACTATCACCAAGCTTGATCCCAAATCTCTGAAATGCGTGTTCCTTGGGTACTCTCGTCTCCAAAAGGGTTACAGGTGCTTCTCTCCCAATCTTAACCGCTATATTGTATCTCGGGATTTTACCTTCCATGAGAACGTGCCGTTCTTCCCAATTTCCCCTCCGACTTCTTTAAATGAGAAAGATGATGACTTGTTGGTGTATACCATACCCACTCCTGAGTCCACTACTCAAGCCACCAGACCACCCATTGTTCATGTATATAATAGGCGCGAATGACCTCCTCCGTCTTCACCAATATCATCTGAGTCTGCAGATCCACCATCCCCAGAAGATGTACCTCCTGAAGCTTCTATACCCACTCCAGTAAATGAGGATCCTGATCGTGACGCTCCTATTGCTCTCCGGAAAGGTAAACGTTCCTGCACGTATCCTATTGCTTCCTTTGTTTCTTATGATAAACTCTCCARGTCATCTCGTTCTTTGGTCTCTACCCTTGATTCTATACCTATTCCATCTACGGTTGGAGAAGCTTTGACTCATCCYGGATGGCGGGATGCTATGATTGATGAGCTCAATGCTCTTGATCATAACACCACATGGGATTTGGTAGAGTTACCTGCCGGCAAAAGAGCAATTGGTTGTAAGTGGGTGTTTACTGTGAAAGTTAATCCTAATGGCTTTATAGCACGGTTAGAAGCTCGTTTGGTTGCAAAGGGGTATGCCCAAACTTATGGAGTGGATTATTCTGAGACTTTTTCTCCTGTTGCAAAAAATGGCGTCTATTCGGCTTTTCATCTCTCTAGCTGCTACCTATAATTGGCCTCTTCACCAATTAGATGTGAAATACGCTTTCTTACATGGCGATCTGCTAGAGGAAGTCTACATGGAGCAACCCCCCGGGTTTGTTGCTCAGGGGGACTCTGGGAAGGTCTGTAAATTACGGAAGTCGTTATACGGCCTAAAGCAATCACCTAGTGCATGGTTCGGTCGGTTCAGTTCTGTGGTAACTACATTTGGGTTACAAAGAAGCTCATATGACCACTCAGTGTTCTTTACTTCATCTTATTCTGGATGTATCCTGCTAGTGGTTTATGTCGATGATATTGTGATTACGGGCAGTGATGAGAATGGAATTAAGAAGTTGAAAGAATTCCTCGCATCTCAATTTCAAACTAAGGACCTTGGTCCACTGAAATATTTCTTGGGTATTGAGGTATCTCGGAATCACAAAGGAATTTGCCTATCTCAACGAAAATGCTGCCTTGACATACTACATGATTCTGGCATGATCGACACGAAACCATGTGAAGCTCCTATGGTTCCGAATGTAAAGCTAAAGTCTGATGATGGGGATCCTCTTGAGAACCCAGAGAAGTACAGGAGAATTGTGGGACGGCTGAATTATCTAACAATCACGCGTCCCGATATTGCCTTTCCGGTAAGTGTATTAAGTCAATTTATGTCGTCTCCAAGAACTACACATTGGGATGCAGTCTGCCATATTTTGAAATATCTGAAGGGAGCTCCTGGTTATGGCATCAAGTACCAAAACCATGGTCGTTATGTCATAGAAGGGTTTACTGATGCAGACTATGATGGAGACCCTACAACCAGACGATCAACAACAGGCTAATGTGTCTTTGTGGGAGGGAATCTGGTATCTTGGAAAAGCAAGAAGCAGAATGTTGTATCAAGATCAAGCGCTGAATCTGAATACCGTGCAATGGCTCAAACTACTTGTGAGTTGATATGGCTGCGTAATCTATTGGGAGAGATTGGATTTAATCACTCTAAACCGATGAATTTATGGTGTGACAATGAGGCAGCTATCCATATTGCAAGCAATCCTGTATTTCACGAGAGAACTAAGCATATTGAAATAGATTGTCATTTCACTCGGGAAAAGCTTGAAGATGATCTATTTCAACCTCTCATGTCAGAACTAGCAATCAATTAGCCGACGTCTTCACCAAAGCATTACTAGGGAACCGAATCACATCTTTTTGTAACAAGCTGGGCATGATAAATATATATGCTCCAACTTGAGGGGGAGTGTTAATTAAGTAACCTGTTTATGGTAATGTGTCTAAGCCCGAAAGCCCGATGGGCTTTAGGGTTAGGGTTTCCCGTGTAATTATGTCTATATATAGTGTCTCTCCTCTTGTAAATTATATAGTGTCTCTCCTCTTGTAAATTTGAATTTTATTAATGAATCATATAATAGAGAGTTGTCTCTGATTACACCCTCTAACCAAATTCCCACCTAAGAATGTTTGTTTCTGTAAACTGATAAATATATGGATACGGAAGCAAAATCAAAGTTAATGATATTAAGAAATTGTTACCAACAAAAAATAAAAAACATAAATGCTGGTTAAAAATTATCAAAAGAATATTTAAATTTTCCTTAAAATCAAATAAAAAGTGTTTGTATTTTTTAAAGACTGCTAAGTTTTATGCTATTGAGATTTGTCCATCTTAGATGTTCTTAATTCCCAAATGTTCCATTGTCATGATGCAAGTCGTAAAGCTCGAGTTTGTTATCTGCGTCTTGTTTTTAGGTTGCAAATTTATTTGTTTTTGTTTTAGGAAAATAAGGGGACAGTAAGAGGTTAAAAGACATGGTTTTACCTATGATCCGATAAGAAGACAGTAACACGAAAAAGAACATTCTTGCAAGTATAACATCTTATTCAGAGAACAAAAAACACCTTGGTAAACAACCATTTTCAATCGGCGCTTACCCAGACCGAACCAGTGCCACATTCTTATCCAGTTAGTGGTTACCCATTTTGTGTTGGTAAACACCATCATCTCGGGGTAAGAGGAGTAACCGAGTAAGCATTTAATAAATGGACTTTTGATAGGTTGAAACTAGAGTCTAGTTTTGTAATATAATACCGCGACTCAAATGCATTTAAGTGGTTGGCTATTTTTATTGGGTCCTTTAGTAGCATTTACTCTGATATTATCTTTATATTTCCAGTCATACAACAGTGTGAAACACCAAGTCATGATCTAGGAGATTGCTTCAGCAGACAAACAAGTAATATAATTATCTCCTGCTATTTTGACTCTTTAAAAAAAGTACTAGCACAAAAGTTGGTGTGCTTGGAGAGTCATGGTAAGTGTGGATTATGTTGAATTCTCCAAACTAAGTTGGAAACATGATAATGAAAGCAGCATGTTTACCATGTTGATGTTGGCCAAATACATAATTGATCTTGTTGACAACTGAATGTTAATATTTTACCCGTTGTGTTAAGAAACAAGAGGCATGTGCTGTGATGGATTTGGTTTTAGTTGAAACATTTGACTTGTTGGCTTGGAATTTTTAAAAATAGAAAATGATAGTTATTTAGATTTCATTTAATGGTAAGCGGCATTGCTCGAATTGGTATGGCTTTGATTATATTTGTTTGATTAGCATATGGGTATGGAGGCTTGAACATGTGACTTCAGTTGTATACTTGTATTACTACCTGGGAATTGGTGGGATGCTGTTCGGGATAAATACTTGATTGTGGTAATGCCTTAAAGCACTAGAAGACACGTCTATTATGTCCATTGTCAGTTATATGATTGGAAGACATCTATTGTATTTTTCCTCCCCTTATAGCTATAGCCTCTTTAGCTATCGGTGACACACCACATTTGATGCCATTCTTCTGCAAAAAAAAATTCCCATCTCTCGGTGCATTGTTTGTTCATTGTGCTTCCTTATGTGTAAATATAACTTCATATGGCTGGTACTCTGTTATAGTCCTTCCAGCACTTGTTTTGAATTCTTATCACCTTATATTCTTGTCATTATTTCTCAGGAAGAAATCCGTTTCATGATCAACCCAGAGTTAATAGCCGGCATGCTTTTCTTGCCTTCTATGGCGGATAACGAGGCTATAGAAGTCGTTGGTGCTGAAAGATTTTCTAAATATACAGGGTAAGTATGATTGGTTGATCTTTCAATACAAAACTTGCTGTGATGAATACTGTTTTCTTGGCTTCATGAGTATGTATCAAAGTAAATGAACAACTGATGGACCAGGAGTTTTCATTGGGAGTCTGTATACTAAAGGATGTAATGTTTGTTAGCAGCTTAATGGGACTCACAGCAGCTATATATGACTGTTTGGTAGTGGCTTAATGCTATAAAAAATGGCTTATTCAGTAAGCTTCTAGGGGGAATTTTATGCAAAAAAGGCAAGTTTTTTCCAAACCTGCCCCTCCATATTAAAAAACACGCTCCTTCCATCTATGACAAAACCCTCCCAAATAAAAACCTTCCTAATCTATACAAGACAGATTAATCCACACATACAACTTCTTCTATACAGAACCTAATGGAAAACCAACCAAACAGCCCCTTAAAGTGATTTTGTCTGAAGCATAGTGTTAGACTCTTTTGAGGCCTTACACAGTTAGTATAACAGGTGCACCATGTTGGTGGGAAGGGCCCACATTGGCTGCTTAGTGGAGATAAGGTTTCCATACAGAGCCTTCCTGCTGATAACATAAAAATAATTGACCTTGCAAAATGAGAATGAGAATAAAGAGTAGAAAATGGGCCCATAGACACAAAGTCGTAAACTATAATAATACTAATCCGACTCTGTAGGTGAATGCTTAACCAATTTTGCATTATTGTCCATCTAGGACATTTTTGTACGAGTTAATCGTCTTTGAGCATGAGAATGGAGGAACCTCGCTACAGTTTATTTGTCCACATTACGAATCATTAAAATCTGGTTCAGTTAAAATTCAAATCAAATAATGTCAACCTGGTCGTTCTTCAGCTACAGTTGAGCAGCCCATATCATAAACTCATATTGACAAGTCCATATTAATTGTTTGTCTTTATGTGCTTCCTGAAATGAGGGTGATAAGACTACAAACTGCACTAATGGTTTATTATACTCCTTTGGTGTATTATCGTTGTTGCTTTTAATTTGGCAATTCCACATTATTGAAGTTGGCACAAAATAATTTCTCAAATCATTGCATACTAATGCCACCGTGCTATTTTTTCCATTGTTTGCTGTAGTTATGCTGCTTCTTTCCAGTATTGTGGTGACTTCCTGGATAAAAAAGATATTGATATCATTGGAAGACGTAAAATCAGGATCATTGCAATCGATGCTTTATTCAACCCCGGAGAGAGACAATATGAACATGAATTTCTTGTGAGGTATACTTATTTCAATTCTGATGGACTTCATGGATGTTTTCGTGAATTTTGTATATGTCCATTCAAACTTATGATCAACTACTTCAGCAATGTGTAAACTTACTCTGTTGTTTTCTAGATGATCAGTGAACAGGCCTAGTAAACTCCATGCAATCGCCACACCAGAAAGGCCCACATTAAAATTACTTGTTTAAGAAATTCAAAGGCCAAAAAAATAATACAAATTATTATTACCAAAGAGCTTGTAGAATTTGAAGCAATAATGACAAAATAGAGTTTTTGGGTGGGTAGAATATCGGAGCACCTATTTCTTGACTAGAAGGAACTGTATGCATAAAAGAAAGATATCTATTTCAATTGAACAAGCATCTCTCAAACTGGTTTAGCATAGGGGAAGTGGGATCTGTGGTGTCACTCAAAGTGAACAGTGTTTTAAAAAGTGGGGTCAACACACAAAGGGCAGGACCCCAAAAAGGTGTAACCGCCACTACCCTTCGGCCTCTTCAGGCCTTGGGTCTAGCTTTTCCCATTTCTCCCAACACATATTACAATCAGTGACATCACAAATCCATTAAATCCTAGATTCTTGTATATGTGTGCTTTTTATTTTTATCGTTTTCATGTTACTTTTGATTCACCTATTCCAAACTCCATTTTTTTCATCTTTTAATTTATCTCTTTCTTTTCTTTCTAACTTTTGAGACCAACTTCTACACAATCTTTTTGTCAAAACATTTTTACAAGACGAGTTTTCACGAAAACAACCTTTCTACTCCTTGGGGTAGATGTATGGTCTGCATGCCTCTTACCCTTCCCAGACCCTACTCCTGTGACCTGTGGGATTTACTGGTTTTCATTTGTTTGGTTTAGACTAGAAGAAAATGGGGCCATTAATCAACCTTATTTTAGGAACTCCCTTAAAAACTATAATCCCTTACCCTTGTAGGTATTAGGTATATTTGGTAACTTATTTTGGTAATACTCTCTTCATTTATCTCTTGCATATTTTGGCTTCAGTTTCATGGATGCCTTTAGTTGTTGCCTGCTCTAATAATTTCTAAGACTTGTTGGGGCTTTCAGCCTAGGTGAGTGCTTGATTGTGACCTAAGTACTTCTTGTGGATCTCAGTTGTTTAGTATTTCTAATGTTATAAGTCATATCTAGAAACACCTGAAACTCTTGGTAGTAGGTGTATAGATTCCTCTAATCAACAGGCCCTCTTTTTCCGATATTTTATTAACCTTTACTAGCAACATGGTTGTTTTTTAACCGTTGGTTCCTGAGACCATATGCCAATTTGTGATGTTCGGCATCATTTGTGTAGTATTTCATTTTATGTATTACTGTTGATTTCTGCTAAAGGATTGATTACATATAACTTTAACTAGGGAGGTTAACAAGGCATTCTGTGGCTTTTCTGACCCTTGCAAATCTCAACGGTATCAGATGCTATTCGAAGATAATGAATTGTCAGAAGCTCAGCTTGAACAAGATCTTAAAAGCGTCAATAGCAAATCAGATAATGCTGTGGTGTGTATATTTTTCTACCTTTTACTGATCTCCAAATTGGGGTGTTTTCTCGTTTGTTAGTTTTGTTTCTCTTTCTTGTCATACTGATGAAGGCTTCAGTAACAATAAGATATGAAAATTGAACAGGAAATTTGTCAGCCAGTAGGTTTTCAAGATGAAATAGGGATTGTTACTGGAAATTGGGGTTGTGGTGCATTTGGGGGAGACCCTGAACTTAAGGCCATGCTACAATGGCTTGCAGCTTCTCAGGTAATTTCTCTTCTAAAGTATTATCTTTGCAACTTCTTTTGGTGACATACTGACTTTTGATGTGCAGGTGATTGAATCCTTTGTATATGTTCAATTTAATATTCGGATTGTGTCTGCAATTGTGTCTCTTTATTTAACTAATCCTTGTTTGGATGTTTGCTAGAATTTTTGTTTGCTTTCTACTTATTAAATATGAACTATTGGAAGGCAACAACTGAGGTATACTGTAAGCAACCAGAGTGATTTGTTCCAGAAATCCTATACATAACACTTACAATGAATTGAAGTGGTTTCACAATTTTAATATATCCAACATTATGGGCCATGATTTCAACAAATTCATGATATTGATAGTCCCTCATACATGCAGTATTAGTTATCACCACCCTCAGATTTCCAATATATGTTCCAGTTTAAGCAAGCAAGGTGTATGTCACCTTGCCTTTCACTATTTTCATTTACCATCATCTATAGAACTGAAACCTTAATGTTGTATGATCTTGGGTATGTTTGGTAGTTGGGAATCCATTATTCAGATTAGCAATAAGATACCCTGCTTCACTTGCTGCATCATCTTTTAGGTTACTGTGTTGGTTCCCATCCAACTCTAGATATGGATCAGGTCCTTATTTGTGTGTACGAGAAAAAATATTCATGACATAATTCATATAATTCATTAGCAAAGGGGGGAAGAGAGCGGAATAGAGACACACACAAGAGAATAGGGACAAGAAGAACGAGTATAATCCCTGCTTCTCTCTCTACCCCCTCCCTTCCCAACCCCTCATTTTTGTATATATTATTTTTGATAAAATATAGTCTAAAATTTTCTTGGCTATGAGCATTGAAAGCGTTTGGAGAGGCCACAGCATTGTCTTCTTCTCTTGGTTTAGGGCCCTACCTAGTAGAGTTGTTCTGTGATTCTATCTATTATCTACCTTCCATATATGATTTGATAAAATATTAGTCTAAAGTGTTGACTTGTCTTCCTGTTTTTATCTTTCACTGAAAATAATGTTGAGAGCGAACTTTTGGGATCATTTGTCATTCCATGAACACAGATTGAGTAGGTTTTTTACTAATGTTACCATACAATTTTTATCCAGGCATTAAGGCCTTTCATGGTATATTACACATTTGACATCGAGGCATTACAGAAACTGGAACAGGTAATTGCTTCTCTATTAAACATTCAAAGCGATTGAATGATGTGAAATACTTGCTATTTTTCATTACTGTTACATGGTCTGTTTAGTCTTGCTGGACTAGAAAGTATTGAAATTTCTCATGGAAGACCAAGTGCTCAATTTCACGCTCAAGTACAAACTGCTTGTTGGTCAGCACATGCGTACATGATTTTGTTAAAATAAATTATGTCGAAATACTAAGATTGGTCAGTCAGTTGTTGCTTTACCATGTGATGGAACCTATGATCTATGTGCTTTCTTCATTGTACTCCCATTAATAGTTTACATTTTTGTTTACCTTTATACCAGATATGTTGTTGAGGCCTTGATATTCGTATACTCTCGATGCCATAATTGTTATGCCTCATGACTTGTGCTTCTAGAGCAAATCACTTTCATAGGTTGCGTTTGCTACGTGGACGGGACTGATGAGACAAGACTGGACTGGACGAGCGAGATGGGTGTACGAAAGAATTGTGGAAGGTTTTAGGTTTTTAATTTGACATGGGTAGTTTAGTAATTTACCTATCTTGTCCCATTTCCCTTGTTTTTATTACACCTATGTTGGTGGACAAAACAAATGCATTTTTTTTGTCCCAGTCAGTCCTGTCCAAGCCAGTCTAATGTCATACTGAACACGGGACAACAAGTTGTTCCATCTTGTCCCAATTTTGTACCGCGTACCTAGGGGTGTTAACGAGCCAATTCGAGTAGAGTTGCAGGTTATTCAAGCTTAGCTCAAAAAAACTCAGCGCTAGCTCTAGTAACTTTTTCACAGTTGGGCTCAAGCTCAAGTTCGAATGTTTTTTCAATGTTTGTGCTCGAGCATCATATTCTTTTACGGACTCGAACTCGAGATCGATTAGCTCACTTTTTGGCTTGACCTCAGTAACTTTTATACTTTGATTATATGAATGAAGATAATAACATGTTTGGCTTGAAATGCTCGAATGGCTCGGTGTAACGCCCCAAGTTCTACTTCGGGTGCCGTTACTTTCTTATTGATACTACTAAGTCTTGAAATTTAACTTTATTTATAACTTAGTGTATAATTACATTGGAGTTCAAATACTTGCGGAAACTTAACTCAATAGCTTATAATACAACAAAAAAATTGTTATTAATTAGAGCAATACTACTTCTTGCAAATCCTCTTTACTTCTTCCCTGAGATACATGCATGAGATGCATAAGCTAAAAGCATAGTGAGTAGTTATGGTTTCATGAATAAACAATTTTCATGATACTTAACATTTTGTGAATAATAATTCACTAAAAATCTTTTTATCATGCATAAAAATAGTCTTGTTTTCATGCATAAACATAGTCTTTTTATCATGCAAAAACATTCTTTTGATTACTTACTTGAAACATGTAAGTATGTCATACTTGTCTTGAGGTTTGCTAACCCTTGGGTCTCAAAGGCTGCCCCAGTAGGTCCGTTTGCAAGACGTTCCTTCTTGTAATATCCCATTACGTTGGATATTTATGGTCATATATAACATGTAAAAACTTTCATGCCTTGTGTAACACATACTTGTATCATAACATGTAAATACTTTCATGCCTTGTGTGTAAAACACATACTTGTATCAAAACATGTCATCATGCATATCTTGAATATATATAAATATATAACATTTTCATGTAAAGCAAACATGCCAAAATATTTTGTAATGCATAAAGTACTTTTCTATAGCATGTATGTACCTCATAAATCTCATAAGTACTCACCTTGATTATGCCTAGCCTTTCCTTTGATTACTTACTTCAAGCTTGATAATGTATATATGGAGAGAGATTTCCCCGTATGGAACTAAATAGTAACCCTTCAACCCCTATTTATAGGTGAATTCATTGCATTAACTACCTGTTCTTCTTGCTCCCAAAATTGTACCCTTATGAGAGTTTAACACCTCATTTTCGAGGATAAGAGAATCTTGACACCTCATGCTTCTACCAAGAGAATCTTGACACATTATGCCTGGTATTTCCTTGTCATGCTTCTTAGCTTTTGCTTGTGATCTCTGAATTTTGCCAAGTCTAGCTAGACAACCCATAACTAGCTTGCATTGTCATGATAGACTTGCTTTGTCATGCTTAGTAGACTTGCTTAGTCATCAAATAGCTTGCCAACACATACTTCTAGCCCTTACAACTAATCACTTTAAGTTTGATTTCTCATGCTTTGCCTTGTAAGCTACTTGTAGACTACTTGTAAGCTACTTGCCTTGAAAATATGTAAGCTACTTGTAGACTACTTGTAAGCTACTTGCCTTGAAAATATGATAATTTAATAGATGCTACAGCTGCTGGAACCTTTTTAGAGTACTTAAATTGCCCATAGTATTTGAATTTAAGGCTTAAAACATTGTAATTTAACAAATATAAAACGAGGACCACTCGGTTCGGCTTGAAATTTTTTTCTCGATCTTTCAAATGAGTGGAGTTAAACATCGTGTTATGGAGCTCAGCTGGTTAAGTGAAACAAGTTTTAGTGTGTGTTTGAAATCGACTTGAGCTCGAAAACCGTTAAGCTTGAGCTCGAGATAACGAGCTCAAGCTCGAGTAGCTCGACTCGTGAACACCCCTATGCGTACCAAATGCATCCTGCATGTCTCTATATTAAGTGTAATTTTGTCGCTATGAGGTATAATGTGAGAGCTGAAAGCAAGAGTTTTGTCAGTGTTTATTTTTGTTTGATATCTCATTTAGCAGTCAGTAATCATCTGGTTGTTAGAGAACTTACCTCAGGTGCAAGAACCTTAGATTTTACAAGTTTAAAAAGCATGACAATTTACTGGATTTTTGGCAGGTTACACAATGGATTAATTTCCATAAATGGAGTGTTGGAGATCTTTGGAATATGTTAGTGGAGTACTCATCACAAAGATCAAAGAAAGAAACCCAAGTTGGCTTCTTCAACTGGCTTCTTCCCTTGTTATCTTCTGATGACCCCATGATGCTGGATGTACCTTGAAACTCTACAGCTGTCTATCTGTAAGCTTTCCGAATGAGCCAGTGGAAAGGTGCGCATTCGTGCCACCATTTAAAACCCGTTCACTTGTGTCACTATCATGACGCCTACAAACTCGTTTGCTATCCCCATGACTTTGTGTACGTTTAGATGTTGTCAAATACTTTAGGTGGAGTCGATAGTTTGGATGTCTTTGTTTCGCTAACTATCTACGATGAGCGCTAGGGCTTTGGACATAGCAAAGGCGTCTGAGTAGTTATATTATCTGGCAAAAACACTAGCCTGTGTAAGTTCAGTTTACATGAACCCTGATTTCGTAAATTACATGATTATCATAAGCATAATATTAATTTTTCATTAAGTATTGTTAATGATCTGATTGCAAAGAGACTGATTCGGTTTCTACCTCCTTACCTATAACCTGTAATGTGTTAGGGTACCTAATGCGTTAGGGTCATGCCAGAGGATGTTCCAATGAAAGGAATGGCGCAGGGCCACCAAAAATTTTGGGGTCCAATTATAATGTTTTAGGCTTTTAGCCTATTTGCCGATTCCCATTTTTAATGAATGTTAGAAGAATGCTTCTACTTGTGAATTTCATGACATTTTTATTGTTTTAATTTGTATAACTTGTAACATATGGTATGAATTTTTATATTTTGTTTTATTTATTACTCGTCTTGTCGATCTATAGTCTTGATGCAGATGTAACATCGCCTCCAAAAAGATCGGAAAGACCTTGTAGGTTGTATATCGTGAAAATAAGTGTTTTTCATGGAGGAAGAAGTCCTTTATCAAGGTAACCAAATTTCCTAATTAGAGTCTACTTAAGTTGGCTTTAGATTCATTAGTCGTTTACTAAACGCTTACCGGATCATTTTACCATATCGGATGAACATGACAAGAACTGAAAATTTTACCTGGTAAGAGCGTTGACAAGGACCGCCGAGTCTTACTTGGTAAGCATTTACCGAATATAAATGTTGCATATGAATATATTATGTTGTTTTAATAGATTAAAATCATACCGGGTAAGTTAAGTAGAAGTGTTAAATCTTACCTGTAAGCGCGTACCGGCGTGCACTTACCAAGTCACATCACTCTGGTCTGTCCGTCTTGTCTTATCTTATTTGCAAACTAAACGCACCTGAATCATCAGTTCCATTTTCATTCAAGTTTTTTGACCGGCTAAGTGTGCTACTCCAGCAAACTTCTTTTACAATATGATTGTCATTGCTTCATTTTCTCATTGCAAATCTTGTGGATCACTCTATACTTATTCAACATTTGTCAAAAAAATGTTTATTCTTGTTATCGATGATATTTTGTACCAAAGTCAGTTAAAAGTATCTTTGATGTTTTTGACGAAAGACTACATTTGCATAATTCATTTGGGTCGTAACGTAATTAGGGATATTTTGTGTTTGTATTCGTTTGTTGAACTTAACCAAACAAACAAATAAACATAAACAACAAATAAACAATTTTTTTTGTGTCAAGAAAATGGCTTGTTTTAGGGTCGTGCCAGAGGGTATACCAATATGAGATTCTAAACTTTGTAAGGGCCTAAGTATATATATTTTGATTTTGCTCAATGCCCGATTCGCTCCCTCTTCTACCAAATTCTTCGATTCTCAGTTACGGCTGCAAATCTGCAATTCTTTCTCCTCAAAAATTAAAGATTGAGCTCTCCTCCAGGGCTCCTGTTCATCATCATTTATCATTTTCCTGATGGCTAATCTTAGAGTAAGTTATGAATTTGGTCTATGTGGTTTGTTGGTTTTTATGAAGATAGTCCTTGTACTTCATTTATTATAGATTAGGGTCTTGGTATATTGTTTTGTAACAAATTGGTCCCTCCCTGTAACGGTCATCCAGTTCCTCAGTTAACCTTGATGGTATTTTCGTCATTTTCCTTTTTTGTCTTTACTCGAGAGATCAATTTTGTGAATATCACACAAACCATAGGGACCAAATCCGTAATTAAGTCTAAAAAATAAAAAAAAATTAATTTTATTAAAACTTTTAGTTTATTAAATTAATTATGTATTATACTTTAATCTATATTAATTATGATATTTAAGTTTAATTTTAATATAGAATATATTTTCTTTTAAAAATTTATATATTATTTACATTTACATGCGTGAACACTATCATTAATTATTCTGCAATCCATAGTAAAAGAAAAAGAAAATGTATAAATGTAATTATATTATGTAATAATGTGATTATCTAAAACTTGAAAGATTTTAAAATATCTAAGGAGTTGTTTACCAAACACTTACTCAGTAAGTACTTACCGGTAAAATTTAACACTATCAGTTACTTATCAGGTAAAATTTTAGTCCACTAAAACGGTATCATATGTAACAATTCACCTAGTAAGCACTTATCGTGGTAAAAGTCGTCGCCCTCACTTACCGGGTAAGAATGTTGATCTTTGTCTCACTCTTACCTGGTAATTGATCCTTATCATATTCATCCGGTAAAGTAACGAGACTTGGTGTTCACTTATCCGAGTAAGCATTTGGTAAACGGCCCCTAAGTTAAAAAAAAAGTATTGAAAACTATAATATTTTTAATTAATTAATAATGATATTGTTACTTAAATTAATAAATATATTGTATATTTTATAAACGAACATAATAGAACATTCATAGACGTAGTTGACTGGATGTCTTTATTCGTATTCATTCATTTAATGAAACAAACCATACATTCATCTACTAATAAACTAACTTTATTTCGATTCTTATAGTGGCGTCGACATGATAAAGACTAAAACTAAGATTTTTATTCCTATAGTTTGATATTTATAACGATTTTCGTCCTCTACTTTTAAAAACTGCTTTTTTGTCCTTATGGTTTCCGTTTTGTTTCACTTTTTGTCCCTGAGACTAACTATGTTAGAAAAAATTAGTTAAGTTTAAGGGTACTTTTGTCTTTTATCATTTTAACTAATTTTTTTGTTAAAGAAACTATTTTATATATACATGCCACACACATCATACTTCACCCGTAGAGAGAACCTCGTCCCTTCCATCCGGTGACCATCTCCGTCTTCTCCTGACATTGAGATTGAACTTTTCAAGATCGTGATCAACCCACAGGTGACCATCGAGATCGAAATTGAAGGGAAGAAACCACAGTCCATAGGTGACCATCGAGATCGAGATTTAGCTTCGTTATTCTTCCTCTTCCCTAATTAAAACCTACCTTGAGAATGAGATGTGGATTGAACCGGACATCGCCAATTGGAGGAAGGATTCAATGAAGAAAAGTAGGTCGTATACTAAGGAGAGTATTGGCAGCAAAAACCCATTTGATGTTGAACCAAAATCAGAGGAGAAATCCCAAAACCCATTTGAAGTTGAATGACAAGTTAGTCCTTGAGGTTGAATCAAAATTACAGACACGTTCATCAAACCCCATTTGAAGTTGAATCAAACCTAAAAATGAAAAATGTTGACCCATCTTCTTCAAATTTTTTAACCGAAACCCATTTGCAAAACCCAATTGTCGTCTAAAAAATTATTCTGAAGATTCCGAAACCATGTCTGAAAAAGGGAAGAGAGAAACAAAATGGAGATGGGTCCATAGATGGCCTCTGATCACGAGATTCACAGGTGCACATCGATGAAATTTTTGCAAACTTTGTAGCTTCATGTTCATAGAATCTTCCATGGAGTTTTGGAAGGAATGGTGCAATGGAAAGCCACCGGTGTATGAAGGCACATCTCTTGGAGACAACCGATGTAGTCCATCGGCGGAGACGGAAACTAAATAAAATAGCTAAAAGACCAAAGTACCCCTCAGTTAACTGTTGGAATCTAATGGAGTTAACCTAGGGACAAAAAGCGAAACAAACAGAAACTATAAGGACGAAAAAAGCAATTTTTAAAGATCAAGGACGAAAAGAGTTATAAACAACAAACCACAGGGACAAAAATCGTAGTTTGCTCCATAATAAATGAGGAGATGGTTGACATCCACAGTATCAAAATTTTCAACAACCAAGATGTAGTTGCCACGTGTTTTGTCTTTACGGCATTGGTCCCTATCAAATAATTTATCTGGGTAAGAGTCGTCATCCTCACTTACCGGGTAAGACTCTCCATTATTCTCATCGCTCTTATCCGGTAAGATTCTTGGCCCTTTTCATATTCATCCGATAAGTAAATTTATCCGGTAAGTATTTACCAAGTAAGTGTTTAGTAAACGGCTCCTAAGTTAAAAAAGAATTCAAATAGTCGTTCTAAAAAATATTAATCATATTAAAATAAAATATAGTATATAAACATTTTCACCAGATTTAAAATAGAGAATCAAAAGTCAAAATCTTTAAAAAAATTACACTCAACTCCAATAATAACTTTTTTATTTTAGAGATTTTAACATTCATTATATTATTAAAATAGTCTACAAATTTATCATCCAAATACACCTTTTAAAAATAAAATTAAATAAAACAATAATAGTTCAGTCTCATAGATGGGAAATGAATAAAAAACTAATTTTTATCTCCACACATCAAGTTTTAGAGAATTCTCTAAACTTATATGACATTTGTTTTTTTAAGAGGTACTGAAGTCTGATTTCATTTATGATTTATAAGAGGTGGTACTGAAGTCTGAAATTTAAATCAATAAGAATGTTTGTTTTTGTAAACTGACAAACGTCTGAAATCTGAAATCTATATCAATAAATATGATATCCTAATTCAGTTAGCTAGAAATCACCATCTCTGGTGGCTAACACTTATTCCTAACCCTAGCTCCCAACTCTCCGGCCACAATCAAAGTAGTAACCATGTCAATAAACATCATCCCATGGTCCACCACGTTGGCTGGTCTCGATATTGCATCATCGACAACTTTTAAACCCCCAATATCTTTCTTGAAATACAAATTGATTATGAAATTCCCGTTATCAATAACATATGCCTTACCATTTTTCGGCAAAACACAGAGCTTCGGAACACAATCGGCTTCTTCAAACAACGATTGAAGCTTTTGTGTTGTAAATTTCCAGCAAAACGAAACGATTTCCACCGACATGGCTAACCTACTTCCTCCGACATAATCCACCAGCTTCGTTTCATCAACAATCACCACAAGTTTCTTGCAACAAACCTCGATGACTTTTTCACGACGCAACGATCCGCCACAACCCTTGACCAAATTCATATCTGGGTCGATTTCGTCTGCTCCATAGATAGCCAAATCAAGAACCAGGTGAGTATCAAGATCCGACAAAGGAGATGCATAATAGAGAACAAAAAGCTCTTTTTTTTTCTATTTTAGATAATTTATAGGAGATGCTCGTATCCGTTGGAACTTATCGTTAACGACTTCGTTTATGTAATTATAAAAATATGTTATGCTTTTAATACAGTTACGTGAACATATTATTATTTTGTGGAAACAAAAGAACGTATTATAATTTTACAAAAAGAAAAAATCTTATTGAAATGTTCTTAGATGTTCAGTCGTAGGCACCAAAATCGAGCTTTTAAATATAAGTTCGAATCATAATATTAAACCTACCAACGTACAAGCGAATACAAAATCAAACCTACCAACGTACAAGCGAATACAGGATCAACCAAGAAAGGAATACATTCGATATGTGAGACAAACGGAATCGAAAACCTCAGATCCTTTGGTTGCCTGGGATTAGTCAGTGCGCGTAAACTGGTCTGGTTACCCACGTTTATCAAAAAAATTATTGAAGTTGGAACTACTTTCTTATTATCTGTAACTATGATTAATTTTTTGTTTTATTTATAATTAAATTAAATTTTATATTAAGATAATCATTTTGTGCTGGAAAAATAGTTCGGAATCCACCTGGAGGAACAAACAATTTGATCAAAATGTAAAACGACGAACCCCACAAGCATAACTTATCATGTCTTGTAAATGTTTACTTTTCATATTGCTATCGACCATCTTCATATTTACCACCACGACACTATTGCCGCCCATTACAAATGGTTTCAAGATCGACATCTAGCATACAACCAAAACCATATATGTAAACGTCGTGCTTGGAGAGAACAAGAAAACGGTGATTTATGAATCCATGACGGGTTTGCACAAAAGGATCATGGTGTCTTTTAAATGCAGAGTTACTTATGAATGACTCCGTTGGAACATCAACCTTAAGTGGAACAATTCGAATCATTTAAACAGCCTCTGTAGTTATCTCTCAGATATTTATAAATAAAACATTGTATACCGTGATTTCATAATGAAAAAAGAAAGAGATAAAGGATTATTCATATTTTGATGACGTTTTGCACCCAATGACATCGCTTCCCCTCACCGTTCTATCATCGTCTACCCTCCATCACCATCCACCGTCACTAAGATATCTGGACCATTGAATCAGCTTTCTAATTCGAACAAATTTGACCAAGTCTTGTATAGTGCAATCAGAGTTCCAGTACCTAGAATCAGAGCTCGCTACTTGGAACCAGAGTGCGGATGTTATCTCTGATTCTAATCAAACTGCTCAGATATCTTATCCATTAACATTTACATCTTAATCATTTAACCACCCGTAACCGTCGATCTCTTATACAAATACGTAAACGAGAATCTGGGTATACATAAGAACTCGACCTCACAGCCTTTGAGATTAAGAGAGGTTCTCTTGAATTATCCCAATACGAAATTTGTGATACCCAATAAGGGACGAATTACTGTATTTGGACGTTGAGTTTTTCCGATCCAAATAGATTATTCAGTCATATATCTAACACCGGATTAATCATTTAAAATAAAAAAGTAAAATTAAGGGGGTGTTTGAGATTGCTTATAAAAATAACTTATTTCGGTGTGACATCGGTAATAAATAATACTTTTGAGTATTTGGATAAACAACTTATACCGGTACTAAACCCGTAATAAAGAGTTTTTGTAAAAATGTAATATATTTTTTTCGAATTTTACACATCGATGAGTAAAAAGTATAAATGGAGAGAAGTTAATGGCGGATATGAAGATTATTAATTATATTGTGTATTGATAGTAAAATAAAGAGGGGGAGGAGGAGGGGTGGCAGCTTGTGTAGTGTTGTTACTGTCTCCATCGACGGCCATAGGCGGAGGAAGGAAAGGAAAAGGGGAGGGAAGAGAAGAGAAAGAGGGGATCTTGCTCCATCAAAACCAAACCCTAACTAGGTTTCATACACTTCAAGCTGAGCAGATCCCCTGCATAATTCTATGGCTCAAGAACCCTCATCATCCACATCCCAAACCCTAGATGACGATCTTCACCAACCTCCTCCAAATTCTACTGATTCCAACAACCCTTCCCTCACACGTAACGTATCCTCCAGCCGGCTTAACGCTAAGGCACCGGAGTTTGTTCCTCGCACCACCACTACCGCCGCTTCTCCTTCCTCATCCTCTGCTACTACTACTACTACCACTACTGTTACTAGTCGTGTTGATCTCTCTCAGCCTCGGCTGGTTATCTCTCCTCCTCCCACATCTCCCGGGATAATTCATGTATATCCTTCACCTAATTCTCCTTTTCATGCTCCGATCCCTACCCATGTTCCCGTTTCTGTCCCTGTCCAAAACCATCATCCGCATCATCACCATCATCATGTTCCGCTTCAGTTTCATCACCACCAACATCATAATCCTAATCATCAACGACCCTTTAATGGCGCCACGGGCTTTCTTGATCATAAAGACGTGTCGGTTCAAGTTCCGCGTGGAGATCCAGATTCAAAAGATGGTCTCACTGACGAAGCTACTCAAAAGATTCTTAATCAGGCAGGGTTATGTCCCTATCTCTATATGCTTTTACAATATATTTATCTTGAATTGATGCATTATTTTTCGTTTCTTTTACTCTATTGCTGGTTTGCTACTATAAACTACGCTGCCATCTGTTGATAGTTGGCATGAGACTCTGCTGATTCCAGTGATTTATAAATTTTTTGTTTATGCATTGGGATTAGTACAAAAAAGATCATATAAAAAGTAGTAGGAAAAACATAGGAGTCAACATTATATGTTGCTGCTCTTTCTCTCATACTAAATTCCCTGGTTGGGGAGTGCATTTGTTACCCAACACTGTATTTGGTGTGTCCTAGTGTTCACTCTTTTTCTTTCTCCTTTACTAGCATACTCATGAATATCGGCCTTGCTAGACTATGCCTAAAGTTAGGAAGTACACCGAGGCCTTACTTTTCTACAAGATACTTTTGTTTTCACCTAGACTGGACACCTATCTAAGGCTGAAGTGGATTGTTGTATTTGAGGCTACTGAGCTACCATGTCCATGATAAGCTGTACTCGTGAAACTAATCGGATATGAATGGTAGACATTTTATCTGCATGCTACCAAGTGATAAAATAGTTTCTATTTGTTTATGGAGACATTGTCATGAGTCACCTGCATCAGGCGACCATGGAAGGATCAAAATTTGGTAGTCAGTAAGATGTGGGCATCAAGGTTTTGGAACAGTAGTCTCATGGAAGAGCTTGGTTGGCTCTGACAGATTAGTAGGAAGTTGGTTATTTGGTCTAGACTATATGGCATTGTGTGATTCAGACATAGAAGTAGGAAGCTGGTTATGTTGTTTGCTCCATCACTTTTTTATGGGCTAACATATGTATATCAATGTGTATCTACCATGTCACCCAGGCACACTTGTCATTCTCATTCATAATCCACAAAGGATGTTTCTAGTCATGAAAGTCAAATCTATGCTACCTTATGCTCTACTGCAAAATTAAAACCTTGTTCAATTGAGTTGAGATTTTAGGTTCTCTTGTTGTCGTTGTTTGTTTGAATGAACCAGGTTCTAGTTAGGATTTGGGATAGGAAAAAAGGGGTTGTGCTATTTTGGGCACCATATGTTGTTCGGTGTGTCAGATATTCAGGTGACATTACCTCTAACTTTTCCAAGAGAATTGGATTTTGTCTTCTTAGCTGGGAGTAGGTGGAACCATAAATTGGGTTTAGGGTGGTTCTCTTAAATGTTATTATGCAAAATACATAAATAAGATAAATAAAGAACAAATATATAAAAATCCAAATCTGCAATCTAGGGTTTAGGTTAAGATCACATAAGTCTCCTCTAACTAATCCATGATTGTTTTTATCTTTGTTAAATATTTGTTCTTAGTTGTTAAAATTAAACTAATCAATCAACTAAAAGTATACAACCCTACTCAAATTTTGAATATGAATATTAAGACTCAAGAATAAAAACAAAAATGACAGCTTTAAGAATGACAAATACTAGAATATCATAAAAAGGACATACAAAACTCTTTTATAGAAACTGTTTATTGTAAAATTCTGTGGTTGTTAAGAATCAGTTGTCAACACAGATGGGAAGATGAACTAGCTGTAAATAATGTAAATTGAAATGGGGGATTACTGTCTATTAATTAGCAACTAGAAGCAAATAAATAAACATAAAAAATGACAGAAGCAATCAGCAAATAAATAACATTGATCAAGATAGTGGGATAATTTTTACTTGGGCCTAATGTTTAGATGGAATCATAAAAAAGAAAATGTTCTTTGAGCACAATTTTTATTATGGAAATATTATAAAATATTTATGAAATGTTACAAAATAAGGATGGAGTTTTTTTTGTGGGAAGAGGGTTAAGAAATATATAGGTTGTTTTAGTGAGGGCGAGCCTGGGTCTACCCTCGTACGAAGGTGGCTTTGCTCATGGCTGGGAGGGCCAATGTTTGGAATATTGGCTTTAAAAAATGTAGGGATGACATATAAGAGGCCTACTGCAGTTTGCAAAATGTTTCAAATAGGCCACCCAATTGTTGATAATTTTACAATTGGGCGGCCTATTTGAAACCTTTTACAGATTTTGGTGGTTTCCATGTGTATTATCCCACCTAGAAACAATAAAATCCATTGGTGAAATTACCAATTATCATCTGCATGACAATTTGAAATCTATGCTAGTCAACATGGTTTTAAAAATCGCTCGAGGTGTACACATCAATCGAGTCAGTCGAAGAACGTGCAAAAGACAACACCTTTGAAGCCCCGGACAAGACCTACGCATCGATGTGAGGCGGGTGAGGTGGGATGAGGCTTATACCTTTGACCCCTTTTCTAATTTATGATTTTATACGGTTTTTTTTTAATTACTAAAAGTCTAAAACCTTAAATATTTTGTCCTAGATTCACAACTACTGCTATCCTGTGATTTTCTCTTCTCTCATCACTCAGACTCACAGCTTCAATTTCTCTTCAATCTCCTCTCCTCCATCACGATTTCTCTTCTCTCCTGCTCACTTACTAGCCACCAAAAAGTTATTTTGAACCTCAAGGTTGCTACCTTACTCATCGTGTTATTGAAGAAATTGGAGAAGAGATTGTCACTCAGGGGATCTCACTAATAATGACGTGCATAGAAAACAACTGGAAATTTGTTAATGGAGAAGATGAAGAGTTTGTATTCGCTTGGACTATGTATGGTGCTTTTTGCATAGATTTGATGCTTGAGATTTAATAAAATTGGAGAATTGCCATACAAAAGAATGTTTTCATAAAGCAAGATAGTACGGATAAGTTGCAACAATCATTACGGATGATGTTTGTTTTAAATGCATGGCCAAGCTTGGGCAAGTGAATCTAAAGGGAAAGTTGTGAAGAAATCATAATGGATAAAAATATTTTTTTGACCAAGTGAGGTTTATTCTAAAAACCACAAAGCCCTTCTTGCATGTTGAAAGGATAGTTGATGGTAGAAATACACGACCAATTGTATTTATTTATGGTGATATGGATGAGGCAAAAATAAAGATAGCGTAAACTTAGATGGAGACGTTTTTTGGGTATTAAGCAATCTCTATTGTTCTTTTCTTTCTAATCAATGTGATTTATTGATATTTATTTATTTTCTTATTATTAAGAACTTTGTTTACATTTGGATGAGTATAATACACCTATACATGTTTTTAGTAGTTGAATATCTGCCATGTCTTCCATCTCATCCCCAGCTGCACTGCTATCTTTTTATCTTATTTTTTTATTTGTCAAGTTAGACTATCTTTGAATGGTGAAGCTGTCTGCCATGTCTTCCATCTCATCCCCAGCTGCAACAAGTAAAGAGATCTATTCAGTGATAAGAAAAAGAAAAAACGTGAACGGGGTCCCTAAAACGGACTATGTAATGCTATGTAATGTACTTTATCTGCTGGGTTACGGGCGGTCATTTTACTAGAGGTTTATAATCTACCCTTGTGTGATTCCTGTTGAAGCATATACTCGGGGGGTGGGTGCAGGGCGTAGTCTAAATAGAATCATGATCTAAAGATACCCATTAACCATAGTCTACAAAATATAGACCCCTCGCTCAGTCGATTCATTAGAATTTATAATTTATTGATTTAATCCGGTATAGTATAAATAGATAATCAGAGTTATCTTTTTATCTTATTTTTTTATTTGTCAAGTTAGACTATCTTTGAATGGTGAAGCTGGGACCCTGCACCTGTATCTTAGCAGCTTAGCTCTGGGCTCTGGCTCATGATTTGGACAGGTCACAGGCTGTTGTAGCTGGTGAAACCCAACTTCTCGGCTAACAATCTCATTCTAGTAATTGGCTAGTTTCTTTACTTCTGAATTAGTAAAGAAACCAATTGCTTTAGCATGTTCTAATTTATGAATTCTGGTGAGATGTTGAGATGTGTAAAATTACTTGCATACATGACAAGAAAGTGCATACTGAATCTGTTTCAATAATATTATTGTCAATGGGTGCTGAGAGCACAGTGTTGGTCTCAAACAAACATACGGACGGTACTCATTATCTTCAAAATTGACATTTTAATCGTGTTACCTTTGTAGGTGGAGTATTATTTCAGTGATATAAATTTGGCCACTACTGATCATTTAATGAGGTTCATCAACAAAGATCCTGAAGGGTATGGTAAGATCTACCTCTTCCAATGTAGATAATGTAATGAGGTTTCTCATTTCTTCTTTCAGTATTGGAGCTCTTCTTCTAATCTTCTTGTTGGGACTTATATGACGAGCTGCAGTGTATCTACCCATTGATACAAGCATCTTGATCTTGTTTTTGTTGAAAGAGGCTACTACTTCTCTTGTAATCTGTATGTTTTGGTTGCATTGATGTTGTACTTTGCTAACCGTGTGCTATATGTGGCTATGAATATGTTGTTCTATATTGTTGTTATTCTATATTTTAACACCAGAGATCAGATATGTGGATAATGCAATTAAAGGTTTGTTTTCAGTGTTGTGATTTGTTTTAGTACCAGGAATCAAGCACTGGACACTTTAATTAGCACATAGAATATCACTATTGTACACAGCGCCATAAAGCAAGTGTGGCCGGTATCCAAGTTAATGCAAATTAGCTTTGTTGTAAGCAATGAAAACCGTGCCACCAGCTGGCATAACAAGATGGGATGTACTCCTTAGGACGGCATATATAGCAAGGCATGGAAAAGATGAATGAAGGTGAAAGCATACGAGGGAAATAAACTAAGTAACTGGTCTAATAGTCAAGACAAAGACCACCTAAGCAGCAGCTTAGCAAGTTGGGTAATATAGATACCTCAATTCACAAAACAACACCCTTTGCATACAAGATTCCAACTCTCAGTGAAGGGTGACGTGGCTTAAATATGACAACATAATAACAAGAACCTAATAAATATGGGCTCTTGGAAGACCAGGCTGCACATTTAATATTTTAATTATAACATACTGAGAAAAAATCGACATCAACCCATTTCTGCGACTTATCTTAATGAAATCATAGCATTCCTGCGTAAGCAGATGGTCTTCAACTCTTCAAGAGTGAGTCTCGGGTGTTGTTAACAAAGGTACTTGAGATTTTCTCAAGTTATATTTGCAGCAGCAAACTGCCTAGTGAATGACACTTCAAGATCAAACGTAGTTAGGTGATTTTTATTTATTCAAGATAAATGCTTATCATAAAGGCGTAAGGTGTCTGGTAGAGAAACCTTTGTTGCTGCCATACAACCCTGTTGGTTTTTAATTCTTCTTGCTTAAGATTTTGCATCTTTTAACCTTCATTTTTACATTTTAAGCAGCCACAGCTACTATTAATATGTATAATTACTTTTGTAACTACGAGTAACTGCTGGCCCAAATAATTTCATACAGAACAACTGAATTTCTCTTGTAGAAGTTCTAATGGTTCTAGTTTGATCGGAGGTATGAACTTGCTCGCTTATTCTGTTTGCATCAAAACCGTTTTTATATTTTGTCTTTGCAATTTAAGATGATTAGTTCAATGTTCTATATGAGAAATAAATCAGGAAATGAGTAGTATAATAAGAAAATATGATAAGAAACTTGTATAATTTTGCTGGAATCAATAGCCTGATCTCCGCCTTGCAGCTTCCATTGTTAGGCAGGAGGATCTCAAATATTGTTTAATATCCTCTGCCACTTTGCAAAAGTTTAAGCTATGCAAGTTTCTTGGACTTTTCTGACCTATTTCTTAATATTATTTTCAGTGCCAATATCTGTTGTCGTGTCTTTCAAGAAGATCAAAGCCCTTGTTAGCAGTAATGCCCAGCTTGCTAGCATACTGCGTAGTTCTGCAAAACTGGTGGAGTTCTCGTTAAAGACATTTTATAACTGCACTCTTTGAATAAGCTATTTCCCCCTGCTTCTGCACAATCTTAACTTTCACAATTGCAACTATAGGTGGTTAGTGAAGATGGGAAGAAAGTCAAACGTCAACATCCGCTGACCGAGTCAGACATGGAAGAGCTGCAAGTGCGAAAATGCTCTGTTTCTATATTGACCATCTTCTAGGACATTCAAGTTGCATAGTTTGAGGTTTTTTTTGTTTACATGTTGGTTTTTTGTTTGCAGTCTCGCATAATTGTTGCTGAAAATTTGCCTGAGGACCATTGCCATCAGAATCTAATGAAGGTTTTCTCAACTGTTGGGAGGTACCAGATTGATCCTGTCATATTTTCTTGGAAGTTTGGTTTTTTCTAGAACATTCTTGTAGATTAAAGTTATCTAATTCTTTCAATTGCTACTTGATCAGTGTAAAGACAATTCGTACTTGTCAGCCCCAAACTTCCAATGGCGGGACATCTTCATCGTCAAGAGCAGCAAAAGCAGATGGTATGCTCTTCAGTAACAAGGTAGGTGTGTATAAATATATACATATGCTGACATGTAGATTCTACATATTTTTTAATTTGTTAGCAAGTTAGGGGTCGTTTACTAATTGCTTACCCTGTAAATGCTTATTGTTCACTTTACCTTATCGGATGAATATGAAAAGATTGGGAATCTTACCCGGTAAGAGTGAAGGCAAGACCCGAGAGTCTTATCCGGTAAGTGAGAGTGACAACTCTTGCCCAGCAAGCGCTTACCGGATAAAAATGTTGCATACGATATCGTTTTAATAGATTAAAATCATATCCCGGTAAGTTAAGTGAAAGTGTTGAATCTTACTGGTAAGCGCTTACCGAGTAAGAATTATGTAAACATCCCCTTAGTGTTGAGAACTGTCTTGATTACTTTTCATGTTTTATTTTCCTTGGTTACATTTGATAGGTCTATGGTCGGTAGAGTCTACTTTTGACTTTTTCTGTTTTATTTTCCTTACTTACATATGATGGATCTTGATATTTTCTTGACGGGTGCTTTATTTGTAATCAGTTGTATAGCGGAGTCCACTTTTGACTTTGAGTTCCAGTTCGTATGTTGTTAAAATCGAAATCTTATCAACAATTGTTAACGACAGAAATATTTGCTTGTAGTATTTATAGCACACTTAGTTAATTAATTATCTGTAATTTTTTTCACAAATATCAATTGAGACCAAGGATCGTGTGAGAATAGGAGTCAAATGAGAAGCCTAAGAAGGGATCTGAACCCTTGATCATTGTAATCTCACCCCACCCCATGAATTGCGCTTATCACGGGAATTGATCCGGCGCATCTTGGTGCACCGCATTAATGTTGACATTCAATTAGGATTGATCCAAGGGTGGAGATCCCTTCTTACCCTTCTCACCACAACTTCCATTCTCACCGGAACCCAACCCATTCAATTGATATATATATATATATATATATATATATGTATATGTATATGTATATACGGATTTTAAAGCTTAAATATCATAATTTGACTCTTACAAGTCAAACATGGAGTCCAATTTTTTTGTTGTAGGCTGTACCTTTTAGGCTGTCTTTTTTTCTCTTATCGGCCATAACCAGACATACAGGACTAGTTAATTGGCGTTTTGCTCATTTATAACAAATTCTTTCCCTCTGATTTCTCCAATCTTTCTCTGGATTAGGTTAAGTAAAATCATCAACACCGATAGATCTGAGCATCCTTGAACTTATGCAAGACTTTACAATTCAGTCTTAATACCTAAAATTTCGTTGTTTTCTTATTGCCTTTATGAACATCTAACTTACCCCTTGTTTTGAATGTATTTTTCTTACAGTTGCATGCTTTTGTGGAATATGAGTCCATTGAGCTTGCCGAGAAAGCAGTAAGTGTCAGAGTCTTTTAGATCATGATTTGCTGTATCAATTCTTTCTTCAGGAATTGAATCATTCTATCCTTTTCATAGGTTCTGGAGCTAAACAAAGAGGGTAACTGGCGGAATGGTTTGAGAGTTCGTTTACTGAGACGCCCGGTATGTTCCTGAACAACATTTTCTCTACTTGACTAATTGGCTAATTTTTAACTTATCATATTATATGATTGTAAAAAAGAGACACTCACTTTTCCTGTGAAGCTTATCCATTATTTGGAGCAAAGAATATATGTTAAACTAAATAAGATGATTTAATACATCTAAAAGGTCATGGGGTAAAGAAGTTCTTGGACCTCTTCTGTTATAGGACGTATAAGGAGCGTGTTAATAAACTAACCACTTCGAGGTTCATGGAAATGTTCTCTTTACCACACGGTTAAGTTACAAAGAACTCCCACTTGTAGCAAACAGAGGACTTCCAATCCCCAACCACAATTGGTCATGTGATTTCTCTTTTGATAATGATGTTTTTAAAATCAGCAGATGCCTTAAAAAGCTCCAAACCCCACCATACTGGTTTCTGAGTCTTTATTTTAGGTTTGGTTGATTATGAAAGCTGAATTTTATTTTCTATTTCGTTCAAGCCCCAGGGAAAACCTGCTCAAGGACGTGGAAAGAAAACAGGGCAGGAAGATGAAGTTGTCAATAAGGAAGATGACACATCTACGTCTGAGCAACATCAACTGAATGAGAAACATTTAGATGACACTTACCAACAATCTGAAGTCCAGTCAAACGAGAATGTTGTAAGTTTCCTCTATTTCCCTTTCAAGCTTGATTTTCCATTATTTTTGTAATTCTGTTTGGAATTTTAGTGCATGGGAATCCTTAACAAGCTCTAGCATTTACTTAGGACGGTATGATAGCCACAAGAAGTTTTCTAGAATTTTTATACTATAGTATGAGTTTTGGTTTCTAAAAAGTTATATTTGTTGTCTTTCTTTTCCTTCTAATATATATACTATTTCCATGCAAGTTGTTGTATGGTATCATGCTACTCTTCCTGATATATTGTTGTGGCTGGTTCTGTAGGGTGAGTTTCCAGGCATGTACTTAACTACTATATCTAATTAAGAATAGATACCAACTCTGTGAAGGAGTCACATTTTTCTTAAAACAGCCATTTTTAATGTTGAACAGTCGAGTTGAAGGCCTACTAATTTCAATGTTGGTATGACGGCTTCTCTTCTTTTTTCCTTTTTTGGGTTCGGTGGGGTGGGGATGGTGGTAACTTTACAAATTTATAGGCACTTGTATTCGATCTTGAGAAGTTGTTGGTTTGAGTATTGTGGTCGATGCGAAATTTGTTCCTTCTCAAGTTCACATGATAAATATTCATAATGGATGTCGTATTGTGACAAAAATTCATTATCTTTCAAGGTTATTCATCATAGGTTCTTAAATTATTTAAGGTTCCTAAGTGAATCTCTGACAAGATCAAGGGATAATATAATATAAACATAACTTGTCGGGATGCACTTCCAAGATCTCTGACAAGCTCAAGGGATGGGTCATTGGGTGTTCGACACCTCAGGCATATGGGAATAAACCATGATGAGTGATTTGTGGTGTTGGATCCATTAATGATTAGTGTTTTTAGCAGGGGGAAGATCACTCAAATGAAAAGGAGGGCGGGCATAAGAAATTGCGCAATCGTGGCAGGGGCAAGGGACGTGGGCGACCTCAATATAACCATCATAACAACCGGGGGACTCATATGGTGACACCACCTTCAACTAATTGCGTGAACACTGAGCATCCAGTGATCGGAAAGCAACCTCCAGGGCCTCGAATGCCAGATGGTACCAGAGGGTTCTCCATGGGCCGAGGAAAGGCAGTCGCTGTTCCTGATGACAGTAGTGTATCGTGATGACATAATCAAAGAGAAGCAGGAGCAGTTGAAATGGGGGAGATGGGTTGGTTACAATAATCTTGTTGAATGTTGGGACCAAGGATGGGAGAGTAGTTCTTTTATTTCTTCTTGTGGTTGAGAGTGTTGTGTATTCTAAAGTAAGGATGATATTGGTAAAAGTAAAACAGATGTGGGTTTTTTGATACTGTTTTAGATGATGATGATGGTGATGTGTTTCTTGTTTGTTAATGTAGAATGGAAAAAGAAAGATAAGGGGGGATGTAACTTGAAATGAAGTGAAGAAAGAGGATGGTTGGCTTAATGGGGATGTGTATTAATTGAAGTTTGTATAGATTTCAGCCACTTTCTGTTTGATTTGGTCTTTTTCTTTATTGCATCACTTTGGCAGCCCTATTTGATTTCACTTGGCCTTAAACCAAATGAAACCAAACTATACATTTAACCCAATAAGTTCCATTCAAAGGTGAGGTGAGGGTGGGATGTAGCTGGTGGAGAGAAGAACTCCAGTGTCACATGTATTATATGTGTTGGATTATTGTATCATATTGAAGAACATTCTTATCACATGTGATAATACACGTGAGGAGCTTAGTGATGTGCGTTTTTTGTAAAATGAATGTGTTCTTGTTTGATTCTTTCATATATGAGTTCTCTTTCTTAAAGAGTAGAATGACTTGTTTGGTTGGATAACATAAATCAAACCTTGACATCGTTAAACTAAACAGAATTAAACTTGTCAAATATAGAGACTCGGACTCGGTTTAAGAAGTTGTGTATATATAAATGATTTTTATTTGATATCGTGAAAATTGTAATAAGAAAGAGAAAACCAAATTAAACACTCAAGTCATCATTGGGGTTCGTGGTGTGAAGCATGTCGTCATTTTGATATATAGGCAAAATGAGTGGGTCAACTACGCAAAATTTTGACATTGGTCAAGTTGGTTGGATTCAAATGTCGACAGTTTTTTAATATATATATTTTATTTTATAATTTTATAGTTATTATACTATATTATAAAACATTTGACAAAAACTCTTAAAAACCATTTTTTATGTATGAAGTACTGTTTATTGATACATATTACTTAAAATTCAAGATTACAAGTAAATTGTGTATAAGTACACTTTATTAAAGCTATATGTTTGAATTCATGTACATCTCATCTTAAAATATAAAAAATCTAAAATATAATTAAGACAATTATTGAGTTCTAACATAATACTTAATTATTATATTTATAAAAAATATATTATTAAACCTAAATTAAGTTACTTCATTATGTTAAACTAAATTATAATAAAAACTTTCAATTAAAAAAAAATACACAAACAAGAACTTTTAAATAATTAATTTGATACTAATATTGATATATTTTTTTTTACAAATTTTATATGATATTTTTTAATTTATATTTTATTTAAAAATAAAAACATTATGATTTTCTCAAAACCACATAAAATCGTATTATATCGACATGAATAAAAAAATAAAACGAAACATTGAAATGCAAATATGTCTCGATATATTGTACGAGTACCATTCTAATTTAATTATAATTATAATTTTTTTTTCTTTTTGTTTATGATAAAAAAGATACGATTGTAATAATTTAATTTTTAATGATGTAAATGATTATTTTACCTAACATAAAATTAAGATAAATGTTCATAATGGGGAAATGACATACAGTCTTATAAATATGTAATCACTTTATTTTGGTTAATAAAATGATAATTTAAATATTTACTTTTGAAAATATACATTAATTTTGAACAAATTAAAATAGTAACGGAGACATTTATTATGGGACAAAAAAAATATTTTTTTTCTCTCTCTCATAATTTCATATTATATTATTTTGATTTTCCTTTATTTGTTTGTATTAATATATTATGTTATTAAATATATGTATTAATTATATTAAAATATTGTAATTTTTAAGATGCCATTTTTATCCATTGTAAATATTATGTTGAACATGATTTGTTCATTATTAGCTTATTAGCTAATTTTTATTAAACATAATTTATTTATCAATTAACTTATCAGCCACCAATTAACTTTTCAACTAGTTTGTTAAATACAACTTAAGTGTAGTTATGTACTTGTTTTTTAAAAGTAAACATTTATTTTGTAATAAACTAAAATAGAAATAAGGAAAAGTTTAAAAAAACCCAATGGACTTTAGTGTTTAGAATAATTAAGTCCTTGGATAATTTTTTGGAATAAATAAGTCATTGGACATTCCAAAACATGTTAAATAACTCATTCGACATTTTTTTGGAACAAATAAGTCCTTGGACAATTTAAAACATGTTAAATAACTCATTGGACAATTTTTGGAACAAATAACTCATTGGACAATCCAAAACATGTTAAATAACTTCTTGGACTTTTCTAAAACCTGTTGGATACATTCTTATGACTTGTACAACTAGTTAAAGTGGTAAAATAGTGACAAAAGTCCGAAAAACCCCCAATGAACATTCATATTTTGAACGATTAAGTCCTAAATATTTTTTGAACCAAAAAGTATTTAGATCTATAAAATTAAACAAATATAACAAAAAAAAAACTTATATTTACAAAAAAATAATTACATTTAATTTTTTTTTTGATAAAATTTATTTTAATTAAAATTAAAATATATTCTGTCAGTGATTTTTTAAACAAAAAAAATTAAAAAAAATTTAAAAAGAATTTTATTAAATTTATTTTAAATAAAAACAAATATATCATGTATATGATTTTTTAAATTAAAAAAGAGATTTAAAAAGATTACTGGTGATATTTATTTTAATTAAATATATTTTAATTTTAATTAAAATAAATTTTATCAAAAATCTTTTTTAAATATAATTATTTTTTTTGTAAATGTAAGTATTTTTTTATTATATTTATTTAATTTTATAGATCTAAATCATTTTTGGTTCAAAAAATGTTTAGGGATTTAATCGTTCAAAATATGAATGTTTATTGGGTTTTTTTTCGGACTTTTTTCACTATTTTACCATATTAACTAGTTGTACAAGTCATAAGAATATATTTAACAGGTTTTAGAAAAATCCAAGGAGTTATTTAACATGTTTTGGATTGTCCAAGGACTTATTTGTTCCAAAAAATTGTCCAATGAGTTATTTAACATGTTTTAAATTGTCCAAGGACTTATTTAACATGTTTTGAAATGTCCAATGACTTATTTGTTCCAAAAAATTGTCCAATGAGTTATTTAACATGTTTTAAATTGTCCAAGGACTTATTTAACATGTTTTGAAATGTCCAATGACTTATTTGTTCCAAAAAATTGTCCAATGAGTTATTTAACATGTTTTAAATTGTCCAAGGACTTATTTAACATGTTTTGAAATGTCCAATGACTTATTTGTTCCAAAAAATTGTCCAATGAAATCAGGGCGCTTAATGATTAAGGAAAACTCATGATACAAAAATCATTCGGAGAGTTTTAGAACCATTAAAAGATGTTAAATACGTGTTCAAAACGAAAAAAAGGTCGAATATTTTCGTTTGGTCAAAATGTTATTAAATTAATGAAAGTCACAAATCTTTGATTTTAGTATATAGTTTTAAAGAGAGAAAGATGAAGTTAATAGAAAGGGTACAAAAAAGGAAATGAAAAAAGGAAGCCCTTTTTCTCCTCAAATTCACGACCCCCCCTCTCAATCTTTCTCTCTCACAGCCCACACCAGAAGGGGAAGAGATAATAAACCAAGAAACTGAAAAACAAACGGTGGGTTCGCCTGAAAATCGGCTGAAGGTGACGGATTCATACTCAGACTGGTCGCCGGAACAAGTCTTAATTGTGGGTGGAGGAGGAATTCACAATAATGACATCCACGAGGCTATTACTGTTGCCTCTCCTCACCCCCACTGCTGCTGCTACTATCGTTGCTGCTTCTCGTCTCTCTTCTTCTTCATCCTCCTCCTCTTCCTCCGTTTCTTTCAGGGTTTCCGGTCCACAATTTCCCCATACCAGGAAGGTACAATCCCACTCTCTATCTGACGTATACATGGTGTTTGATGATATGCTTTAGAATTGAGTCGTCCACGTTTCGTATGCATAGCTAGTTTCAATTTGTTTAATTTCGTGTGTTTGTTCTTTAAAGACTTGTTTTTTTTTTAATCTTATGTGTTTTGGTTGAATAAATAAAAACCTGTGATTCTTTCGTTTCCCTTTAGGGAGTGTTCTTGATTAGATCTCACCAAATCCCTTAATTTTGTGCTATACTTTGTTATGTTTTGGTTTTTAGTATCTCCCTTCTTCAATAAGATTCTTTTGCAAGAAGATGGTACTGATTTCTTCAAATACCATTCTAATTGTTTGATCATATTGTGGTGGTTTAATGGTATTGGTAGTGGGACTTAAGGTTCCTTCTAATTTCCATAGTTTCTTAATCTTGGCTTTGATAGTTGTTTTTTGAAAGGAATCTCTTGGTGGTTTGTCTCTTTGTTTGTTTGTTCTGTTATTCTTACTTCCCCTTCTTCATGCTTGCAAAGAAAAAAAAATTAGTTTTGAAAACCTTGTAATGGGTACTTGGACTTGATGTTTTCTTAATAGCAAGATTTCGCTCTAATTCATATAATCACTATATGGTCTTTAGCAGAAAGTTTCACCACACTGTTGTAGACTTCTTCTTGCATTTGAGGACCTCTTTGTCGTTGCCTTTGCTGATTTCAAATCCGTGTCTGGAAAATCTAGAAACACATCTCACAGTTTGTTTAAAATCTTTTTGACACTGCTTTGGCTCTTAGCAAGCTAATTCGACTCTCTCTTTATATTTCTTCACTTTTTTCTCCGTTATGATATTTTTAATGTAGATTATTTCAGAAAAGAACTGATATTTGGTTTACATGGTTTAAAAAGAAAGTGATTAATTAATCTACTTCTATTATTGGCATCACTTTGTTAATTTCATTTACAAAGGATAAGACTTACACACTTGCTTTCCTTTTGGAAGTGAATCTCTCTTCCTTTTGCACGTCATCTCCCTCGTCGAACTTTCCTTTTGTTCCATATACCTGATATCATGGAGGCCTGCATCTATGAAAGTCATGAGTCACACGTGACACAAAGACGGTAAATGTGAAGAATAAGAGGACACAGTTATATTGTGCAATTGGTGATTGAAATCTCGAGTTGCGAGAGCTTGCACCTTAGAGCATCTTATTTTCATAAACCTGGGTGTTTGGAGAAAGTGTATTTTTCTTAACATAACTTGAATTTGCAGCGACTTGCTTTATGATTGTAGAATCATGGTATTACATAAGAGGCAAAATATGTTTTCCCTCACTGGCTAGAGAAGTCAGACCTCTGGGGAAAAAGAGCTAGAGAAACTAGATATAGAGAGTTGTCTTATTCTACGATTTAGCAAAACCTAACTCCGTTCTGAAACATAGAAGTTGGGGAAATGTAATCTTAAACATGCATTTTGGATGGAAAATGCCCTTCTTTATTACGATTGAAATTTTCATCACGTGAACAACACTGCTTTAAATGATTACAACATTTTCACAGATCGTTTTGTTATAAAAAGATCCTTCTACCAAGTTGAATTTCACATAATAACGAGACCAAACAACATGCACACAAGGTGATCTTGAAAAGACAACATATATGCAAGAGGATGCACAAGTGGTTGTGATGGGAGCGATTAAGGAGAAGCTGAGGCAACATCATTTAGGTGGTTTGATCATCTCCATTGTTGGCCTATGCATTGGTTTGAATAGGAGGATTTTACCAAGAGGAGATCGTTTAATTAGGTAAAGATTGACATGGGGGGAGGTACTAAAGAGATATATGCAGGAGTCAGGTATGCCGAAGAAGGAGCAAATTGAAGGTTGACACTCATGTCATGGAACCGAAGCATGATTCACCTCTTTATGTTTGCTTTCAGATTGCATCACTTTATGATCCTTTTGGTTTCAATTTTAGCTCTTCCGTTGTCTAGGATAAAAGACTTGCTGGGGAATGGGGATGTTTTTGTATTGAAGAATAACCAAGTTGAATTTGCTAAGTGAAAAGCAGTGGTAAATGCTTGATTTCCATGAAACTTCATGTGTTATCAGGTAATGGAAAAAAGAGAAGGATATCACTTGAGATCGTTTTGTCATCTCTAGCGTAGATATATGTATGTAACAGTGAGAAAGATGACTTGTTTCTAAAGGAGGGTGTTGGAGAGGTTGAAAGTCAGGAATTTAAGTATAAAAAAGTAGTACCAACTGATGTGAATATGAGTCAGCTAGGTTGGGCTATCTTTTTCTTAAAGGAGGTATAGATGATTGAGGCATACGACTGTATAAGCTAAAAGACTAAGACTACAATCCAAGCTGGAAGCTACTCGCCTCTATTCTAATTTGTGCGAGTCTGCTTAGAACAAAGGAATGCAATTTTAAAGACGAGACGACCTTGGGCTATCTTCTTGTTCTCTTTGTTATGTGCTCTGCATTGTATTTCGTAGTTACATGATGCATGTTAGAAAGAGGTTAGGTGATACAGTAAAGATGGATGTATTTTTGAGTAATTATTCAAGTGAAGAGCATTCTGCTTTGCATGTCTAATTTATCACAGTTCGAACAGTAGAAGTCTGTTTGATGTTGTTAGACACATGATCATCCTGCATGAATCCATCATGCTTCTTCCATAACCATCATATGGATCTAAATTACATTTGCATCTGTTTGTATTGCATTACCTATTTTTAGCTTAACTTCTCTGGTATTCAAATCTGCCAATCAATTGAGACCTGCAAATTTCCAAAAGAGGTCAATACCACTGTTTTTAGTCATACTACTCGCTTGTCAGCTTAAGCTTGACAAAAGTTTCTTTCAATGCTCAGTTGGTTTTCGCTGATAATTTACTCCCAGGGCCCTCTGTTTTTTATGTGCTGGTATAGTGGCTTTGTGGCAAAAGACATCAAGGCATTGTTAGCTTAAAGATTGAAGATGGGAATGAAGTGCATATGTTTGGTTCTGATGATGAAATTGCAACTCAAGTTCCAACCCAAGCCCAAACCATTGTGGAGGGCTCAGGTGCAGTTCTTATCTCGGAATATAAACCTGCCCCAGATGTTGATTACCTACAGGTTTGTGTGGTCTTCTTCTGCCCCATCTATTGTTAGTAGAATTAGCAGAAATTGTGACTTGGCTAGCTATGAGCAAGGATTACATATTTAACATTGGAAGTTCTATCAAATACTCCCTCCATCTCAAAATAAATATCCACAATGAAAAAGGCACACAATTTTAGAAATGTGTAATTATTACACTTTTTAATTAACTAAATGACGATTTTACCCTTAATAATAGAGGAAGTAATAACTTTCTTCATCTCATAATTCAGGGTAGAATTGGAAAGTAGGCACTTAATTTTGAAAATGACGCTTATTTTGGGAGAAGAAATGTGGACACCTACTTTGGGACGGAGGAAGTAAACAAGCGGGTTCCACAAATAGACCCTACAAATCTTACGTTTGCATTATTCCAAGAACAAAATTACTCATTGTTGATGTAGGTGTGATTGGATATCAACCAAATTAGACTATACTATTCTCTTAAGTTACTTCTACGTGGTCATAGTTCTTGATGGTACACCAGATACACATGAATGTGGACTAATGAAAGATTGAACTCCATATGAACTCTTCTTTTCCAAAGGCTTGCTGCATAGGCATATGCTTTGTGTTAGGTTATAGTGGCTAATTTTCTTTTGAGCTTGAACATCATATGACCTGGGGCAAAGCCCCCTTGTAGAGAAGGTGAGTAAAAGCTCCCTTAACATATACACTTATATTTTCAAGGCATCTATTAGCGGGGATGCATTGTTTGGGAAATTGCATGCTGTTAGTCTTGAAAATAACATTTAAAATAGCTATTCGGATATGGGTTTTTTAATTTTAAGTACATTTAGTTATTCTTATCATATTATTTACTTCAACTCAGGAGTTACTAGCAATTCAGCAACAAGGGCCACGAGCTATTGGCTTTTTTGGGACACGAAATATGGGATTCATGCATCAAGAACTCATTGAGATTCTTAGCTATGCTATGGTTATAACGGTATAGAGATGTGGAGCTACTTTTACTTTATTTTTAACTTCTGATTTATCTCAGTAAGTTGAAAATGTAGCAGATATGCAGCGGGTCCCTCGTGTTTAACATGTAAATATTTACTTGAAAATTGCACTTGTTTGTTGTTGCAGAAGAATCACATCTTCACATCAGGAGCTTCTGGCACAAATGCCGCTGTAATTAGAGGTGCACTAAGAGCCGAGCGACCAGAGTTGCTTACTGTAATATTGCCTCAAAGTTTGAAAAAGCAACCTCCTGAGAGCCAGGAATTACTTTCTAAAGTAAGAGTTCAGTTATTTTCTCATCGTTCTTTGTTTGTTGCATTACAAAGTTTATCTTTCACAGCCTCCAAGGATCCCTCCTCATGGAAGATGGTGGGTTTTCTCCAAGGATCTCTCACTCTTTGCTTAAGCAGGTGTATTTTGGCTGGTTGTTTGCGGTTCAAAAAGGTCGGGGGAAGAATAGTTCTAGTAGCAATAATGGGCTGTTGTAAGCGGTTTCAGCTTTCATGAGTGGCAACCTCACGTTGTTGCTTTTTCAGGATACCATTATATCTTTTGTTGCTAACGAGACAGGACTATACCTGCAATGTCGAGGGTATTACCATCTAGGGTGCTTGTTGGGCATGTTTGGCAACCACAAGCTAGCTTATTTTTTGAGCTTATGAAAATGCCCCAATTGATTTGCCATACGCTAGCTTTTTGAAAAGATACTTCAAGTAGCGTTTCAATAAGCTCAGGGTTTTTTTTTCTACTTACTTTTTCCAATTATGCCCTTTATATCTTTCCAATTAATTTTTCAGCATGTGACACATGTCCTTTTACGTCATTTTACATTGTCATCTAACTCATCAACTAGTTTTTATCAAACATGACTAGTTTATCAGCTAGTTTGCCAAATATAGCCGTTGGATAGAATCCGAACTAAAGGCTTGATGCTAAGAGACTACTTACTAGGTTAGGGTAGTAATTAGTGGAAAATTGTATCCTTAATTATCGTCACCAACAAATGTGCAATGTCATAATTTTAAAGTTCAAACAGAACGTGTGGAATCTTAGGTATTGTGTTAGATATGATTATATCTATATACGCATGCGCTTGTGCGCATACACACAAATGTACATTTTGGATGTCTAATGTGTGGAAATTCAAGTTGAACTTGTGGAAGTTCTGTTCTTGCAACTCAGCATGTAGAGCTTGTGTGTTGGGAAACGCTTCACAACCACTATTCATTGAGCAGGATTCTAAAGATCCTGTTTTTCACGGTATACGTTATTTAGAATACCTATCAGTCTTCTTTGCTAAGCGAATTTTGTCATTTTAGTCCTTCCACTCTTTATCGTATAACTCCAGCTCTAATTCAATTCGTCTAGATTTTAGACGGAGTGTCATTTGATGGTCCTTTGCTGAAACCAACAATATGACGTGCCGCTATGCTAGTTCATAAATAAATTGGCTTTGTTGAAGTTTTATTGTTTTTTTGGATCAATCCTTCTGTCCCAAAATAAGGATCCACATTTCTATTTTGGTTTGTCCCAAAATAAGTGTCCACTTTCAGAAGTAAGTGTTTGCTTTCCAATTCTACCTTAATTATGAGATTGAGAAATTCATTACTCTCTCTATTATTAAGGGTACACTTGTCATTTAGTTAAATTAAAGAAATGTAACAATTACACATTTCTAAAACTATGTGCTTTTATCATTGTGGACATTTATTTTGGGATGGAGGCTAAGTATTGTTTATGTTTGACCATGCCATTATAGGTGGTCCGTGCTAGTGAATTTATGTCATTGAATGTGTGGGAGAACCACGAGATATAACTTGTGATCGATATATTTATTTTTCAAACCCCTTTTTCTTGTTTCTTTCTTTTCTTAGTGCCGTTGAAGTTTATTTTAATGACATGATTATTGTTGGATCGAAATATCTTGTAGCTCTTCAGACTAGGATCCTGATAACGAATGTATACTTCATTCGTTTGCAAGATAACTTCGTATCCGTTTATATGTTTTGCGTTAAAAGTATTTAGAGACTGAACAATTTCTACGAAAAGTAACGGTTTCTCTTGGATACGCAGGTAAAGAATGTGATTGAAAAACCGCATAATGATCATCTCCCATTGATTGAAGCCAGCAGGTCCGTAAAATCTTTAAAAGAACCACCTTTCCTTTCATTCTTTTTCACATATTTAACACCCATAATAGGTATTTCAGCAATGGTCCATTGTTAAGCTTGAGGGTCAGCTTAACTGACAAATAAAGGCCAATTCTTGGGGCTCCTCCCTGTGGAGCACCAGTTCAAATCTCCTTAGGGCCACTAGTGGTTGTTATCTTCAGGGCCCTATGAGATTAGTCTGAGGTGCGCATAAGCTGGCCCAAACCATGGTTACCCAAAAAAAGCTTTAATTGTTTAAGCAGCTCTATTCATTTAAGCCGTGTTCAACTATAGGCTTTGGTTTGATTTGCATTGAATTCTGTCTTTCCAGTTTCTTATGTATGATGTTGAGATGGGTATAAAAGTCATTTTACTTGTTGCAGGCTGTGTAACATGGATATCATATCTCAAGTGCAGCAAGTGATTTGCTTTGCATTCCATGACAGCAGATTGCTTATGGAGACATGCCAAGAAGCGAAGAACCTCAGGAAGATCGTAACCCTCTTTTACTTAGATTAATGGGATGTTTTTGTGTATGCATCACACACTTATTTCTGCTGATTTTTCTTTTCAATTAATTGATATAGAGAAGTCAGTCCCTTTGCAATTTGATCGCTAAAAAGCGAAGCTTGTTTATTATAATTATAATTATTTATTTGTTATTGTTTTTAAACAAAAGTTACAGATCTTGAAAGGTGTAGGAGATACAGTACTGTGCAATATATATATATATATATATATATATATATATATATATATATATATATACTTGTTCATACCAACACTTGTGGTAAAGATATGTTGCCAAAAAATCCAGCATCACAAACATTGCTTCTATTTTGGTGCATTGTTTTGCTGGACAATTGTGCACATTCTCCCCAATAAGCATGTATGGTTCTTTGATACTCTCTGTATATATACATACACAGTGGTAGGTTTTGTTAGGAACCTAAAATTGATTAGGAACCAGGGGACTGCCTATAACACGACAAAGGGCATATTCATCAGGAACGTGGACGTGTTATTTATCACGAAGAGGGACATGTGGCGTATTGTGAGTGGTTTTCAGGTTTCTAATTAATTTTGGGTTCTTAAGGTAGCGTTTGGTACATAGACATGATTGGACAAGACTGGACAGGACAGAACAAGACAAGAGGGTAGGACTGGACAGGACAGTACAGGACAACACAAGAGTATGTCTGGTGTTTGGTACGACTAGGACTGGACGGGACAAAACTAGACAAGCCACCTACAAGAGTTATTTGATGATTTTAAATGTTATATAATAGTTATAGTTAAAACAAATAAAGTGAATAATTAAAGAATTTAATTTATAAATATTTGTACACAATTTTCATATAAATGAATAGATACATATATAATGGTACCAAATTTGAATGAAAAAATTGATATAATTGATGGTAGTAGTGGTGGCGGTGGAGGTGGTTTTGGTTATGGTGGAGGCGGTGGTGGCCGACGGTAGTAGTGGCAATGGGCGGTGGTTATGGAGGTATAGACAATGGTGGTTGGTGGACGACGATGGTTATAGAGGACATGAAGATGGTGGATTGTGGTGGTGTTGGCGGTTGAAAACGGTGGAGGAGGTAGTTATGGCTGATGTAGTGAATATAGTTGTGGTGGTGGCTATGGTGGAGGTGAGGTGGCAATGAATGGTGGTGGCCGATGGTGTGGAGGAGGTTTTGTAGTAGAGGAGAAGTTGGAGGTGGCCAACGGTGGTTGTGGAGGTGCTGGTCAATGGTCGACTATGGTAGAGGTGGCGATGGACTTGGTGGACGATGGTTGTGGAGGCGGTGGAAGATGTTGTTGTAGTGGAAAAGGAGGTGTCGATGGTGGTGGCGGCAGCCGAAACTAGAGGTGATGACCATTAAAACAAATATCATATTAAAGTTATATATCAAATTAGAGTAGATTAGTATTATTTTAGTTTGTGTCTCATTTTTGTCCCATCTTGTTTAACTTATTTTGGTGGAACAAGAAAAAACCTCTTTTGTTCCATGCTGTCCCACCTTGTCCCAGTTCTTGTCCCTGTTCCATGTCGCGCCAAACATGGGATAGTGCGTTCTTGTTCTGTTCCATGCTGCACCAAACATGGGACAATTAAATTTGTCCCGTCCTATGTACCAAACGCAGCCTAATGTAACTTCTTCCCTCCCTCTATATTTTTACATAGATTCATCCCATTTTTGTATGAAGCTTAAGGAAAGGAGTAGGGTTGTAACCACAAGGGTGGTGCCTGATTGATTTGAGGTTGACTCCAAGGATCAAAAGTACCAAGAGGTCCCAGGTTCAAATCCAAGGAGGAATAAAAATCCCCTTGTGGCCATGGAGGTTCAAATACAGTGACTCCAGGCTATCTGCAAAGCAGGTGGTCACCCTATGATTAGTCTGCTCGCATAACGAGTTGAATATCCACGTTAATAATAAAAAGGAGTAGGGTTGTGTGCTTGATGGGAGAGTAACAAGAGAGCCTTTAAATGAAGCTTGAGAGTTGGAACCACAAGAGATTGGATTAAATTTGAGGATTGAATAAACTTTAAGAAAAAGGGGCTTGCTGGATCGGGCTTTTGTCATTCGTTCTCCATTCTGTACTAAATACAATTATGTTTGACAAACTAACTGATAACTTAGCTATTAACAAATAAATCAAGTCATATTTGATAAAACCAAGCTGATAAGGTAAAATGATCTAAAATGACATGTAGAAAATTTAATTGGAAACTAATGAGAGGTATGATCGGAAAAAGATGGAAGAACACCCCTAAAATTTATAAAAACATTACTCGAAATAACTTTTCTAAAAACTAGTTTATAACTAACCAAGAAGATCGTTTTTAACAAGCTTGAAAATAAGATAGCTTGTGATCTCTCATTGGAGTGTACATAGGCTTACTCGAACCGGCTTTTCCCGAAACTAGTAAATTATGTTTTTAGTCCTTGTGGTTTGTTGAAAATAGCTATTTCGTCCTTGTATTTTTGAAATTATGGTTTTTCATCCTTATGGTTTACAATTGATTGTTCTTTTCGTCCTCACGATTTAAAATGTATCGTTGTTTTCTTCTCTATGGCTTACAATTCAATATCATTTTAGTCTCTTATACTTAATTGTAAGAGTGAGCTTCAAGACAAAAATAACAATATATTGTAAACTACAAGGACCAAAACTGAAATTTTGAAAACACAGGGATAAAAATCTGTAACTTTTAACAAATCACAGGGGCTAAAAACGTAATTTAGTATAGTTTTGAGCCATCGATATAATTATAACATATTGCATGGCATCGAGAGATCCTGGTCCGTACGCTTGGCCTCATTCTTCGTCCTCCTTTCTCTCACCATTTCACCCTCATTCCCTAATGTCGACAATCCTGTTTACCAATTCTTGATTGATTCCCCCAATTCTCCAAACGGTTTTTCATCATCCATCACCATTGCAATCAATCAATGAAGTAATTCCATTCACTTCCCCACAAATTGATTATCAGAAACGGAAATGAGCGGGGGGTTGGATGATGCCGATGCTGATGCCTTGTCTGCCCTGGCCAACGCTCCTCCTCCTTCCACCACCGGCAACCGGAAAACACATTCCCAACAGCTGCGCACCAACACCGGTACTAACTTCAAACGCCATAACAAACACCAGCACCGGAAGCACAGCCTCGACGAGTCCCGTATCAGCTCCGTTGTCGATGGGTTTCAGAGTTACTCCGACGATGAGGATGATCATGATTTTTACCCCTATGCCACCTCATCCTCAAGGTCTTTTGCAGATGTTTCTTACGACTCCCACCACCAATTCCTATTCCATGGGAATAACAACAGCAACAGTAACAACTCCTCCTCCTCCTCCTCTTCCTCCGACGAACAACACCCCTTTCCGGAATTCTCAGGAAGCGGCGGTGGATCAGGGATCTTCAAAGCTCCATCTAGATCCGCCGTTCACCCCGGTCGTCCCACCGCCCTCGAGCTCAGGCCTCACCCGCTAAGGGAGACTCAAGTTGGTAGGTTTATCCGGACCATCGCTTGTACCGAGACCCAATTGTGGGCTGGTCAGGAGTCCGGCGTTAGGTTCTGGAATTTCTCCGACGCATTTGAACCCGGATTAGGGATTGGTGGTAGGGCTCGGCGTGGTGATGAAGATGCAGCCCCTTTCTATGAGTCTTCAAATACACCGCCCACCACTTGTTTGATGATAGATTGTGGGAGTAAATTGGTTTGGAGTGGTCACAAAGATGGAAAGGTTCGATCATGGAGAATGGATCAGCAACCCACAGATGATACACCTTTCAAAGAAGGTCTCTCATGGCAAGCTCACCATCGTGGCCCTGTTCTTTCCTTGGTGACTTCATCTTATGGTACCTCAATTTGCTATCAATCTTTTTGAGTTCAGATAACTTGTTGTCTACACCAAACATTATCCATTTGTTTTGTTTGGAATTTGCAGGTGATATATGGACAGGGTCTGAGAATGGAGTGATAAAGGTGTGGCCATGGGAAGCAGTTGAAAAATCCCTCACCTTATCACCTGCAGAACGTCACATGGCTGCTTTGCTGGTGGAACGGGCGAGCGTTGATCTTAAAAGCCAAGTGACCGTCAATGGTGTCTGTAATATATCTTCGTCGGACGTCAAGTATTTGTTGTCGGATAATGTAAAAGCTAAAGTATGGGCTGCTGGGTCTCTCTCTTTCTCAATGTGGTACGATCTTTACTTGATTATCATCTTGCTCAATGTAGTATGATCGATCATTTGGAGTTGGGTGTTTCTAATGAATAAACTTGTTGTTGGCTGATAAACTATTAGCTGAAAAACAAATTGTTAGCAGATAAAGTAAGGCAAAAATAAAATAACTGATAAGCTAGTTATGTTTTGTAAAAGAATAGTTGGTAAGCCGGATTGGGAGATGACAGAACACGAATAGTTGGTAAGCCAGATAATGTAAAAGCTGGTCCGAGAGGATGATCAGCCACACTGGGACTGAGACACGGCCCAGACTCCAATAAACGTTGGTTACATTTCTTTATGTTATTTGTACCAGTAACTGGTATCAACTTCACTATTTTAGTTATTTTCATTTTAGTTTAGGGTTTGTTCTTTCTTCGACAAAATCCTGAAAAAAAGGGGGGAAAGACCTTCGGAATTAAATTATGCTCTGAAAATGGAGGCCCCGAAAACAAAGAGAAGACGTGTACAAACGAGATATGCAGCAACAAGAAGAAGGAAAAGGATTGCATAGAGGAACTCCCGAACATTTGCCAGATGTGTCGATATCAATGAATTCTCCCTAGACACATCTATTCAATTAAATTATATGAATCTATGCCGATTCCGAATATATGAATTGTGCTAAAGATTCAAAACCTATTTTCGGCCTTTTTCTAAAAAAAAAGTCTTACCTTTGACAACACAATTAGATTGGGAGAGGACATGACCAAGTGCAAGAAAAATGTTGTTTCTTTGTCCACCAAAATAGGTGGAACATACGGAGATGTGAGAAGATGGGTAACTTGGTAAACTAGCCATGTCAAATTAAAATATTAAAACCTTCCACAATTCTTTCATCCGCTTACCACACTCTCGTTAGTCATTAGGCCAATTCTGTCTCGACTAGTCCTGTTCGCGTACTAAACAAACCTAAAAGGATATGATAAAAAATTAAGTGGAAAAATACTAGGGAAATAATTAGAAAACAAAAGTGAAAAAACAACTGTAGGGGCTTATTGAAACGTTATTTGAAGTAATTGTTTAAAAAGCTAGTTTAAGGTTAACCAAATGAGGGTTTTTCAATAAGCTCAAAGAAAAAATAAGTTAGTTTATGATTGACAAACAGGCCTTAATATGTTTCTGAAGCATAATTTGGTGCTTCTGGAGGTAAGAAAGTCTATAATTCGATTCAATCGTTAGTCTTAACCAGTTTAATCATTGCAGGGATGCTCGCACGAGGGAACTTTTGAAAGTGTACAACGTAGATGGGCAGATAGAGAATCGAGTTGATATGTCGTCATCACAGGATCAGCCACTAGAAGAGGAGGTTAGCGTAAAGGCTGCTTCCAAGCCCAAAAAGGAAAAACAACAAGGAGGTAGTTTTTTGCAGAGATCACGTAATGCTATAATAGGAGCTGCAGATGCAGTCCGCCGAGTTGCGACAAAGGGTACAGGGGCATTTTCGGCCGAAGATGCTAAAAAGACGGAAGCCCTTCTGCTTGCTTATGATGGAATGATTTGGACCGGATGTTCAAATGGTGTACTTGTGCAGTGGGATGCCAATGGCAACCGGCTGCATGATTTCCATCACCATCATTGTGCGGTGCTTTGTTTTTGCACTTATGGGCCACGGATATGGATTGGCTATGTGAGTGGTATGGTCCAGGTGATCGATCTTGAGGGAAACTTGATTGCAGGTTGGATTGCGCATAATGGTCCGGTCATAAAACTGGTGGTTGGAAATGGGTCTATTTTTAGCCTGGCTACCCATGGTGGCATCCGTGGATGGTACATTTCATCTCCCGGGCCTCTTGATAACATTTTAAGACCAGAATTAGCAAAAAGGGAACATATGTATACCACATTAGAAACCGTTAAGATTATGGTTGGGACATGGAATGTTGGCCAAGGAAAACCCTGCCAAGAAGCACTCATCTCATGGTTAGGATCTCAGGCCTCTAATGTCGATATTGTAGTTGTCGGCCTGCAAGAGGTGGAAATGGGGGCGGGGTTTCTTGCAATGTCTGCAGCAAAAGAAACTGTAAGATCTTTTAGTTTCTATTGATGTTTCTTGATGATTACGAAACATGTTTGCTTTTTGCAACTGTTTAAATGTAAAATTACAATGCGTTGCATACAAATCGGTTTTATAGGATGCCAAAAATGTCTAAAAAGTTCTAATTGACTGTTTTATACAATAAGTTGACATGATGCTTTTGGACATCCTAATAAGTTTTTAGAACCATTTTGAAATAAAACTTCCTGCTAGTCTTTTTATTAAACATTATATGAAAAAATGTTATAAAACAAGTGTCTCATAAAAAATGCATTCACAAGACATTTCTCAAAAAGTGTCACAAAAAGAACTTGTTAGGATGTCCAAATACATGCTAACATGCTATTGGAACACTTTTACATATGATGCATAATTCTTTGGGCCTATAAACTTAAGTCCTATAAAGCAGTCTATTAGGATATTTAGACATTTTTTGCTTTCCTACAGAGCCAATTTTGTTTTGTGAATGAAACCCATGCTGTTAATTGCGGCGCAATAGCGCTGCAGTACCGGCGCAATCTTGGATATCAGCCCTAAGAAAAATATCGGTGGTCATATTGCGGTATAAATAGCGGTAATGCAATTATTGGCGCAATTTACCCCAATTTTGACCGATATTTAGGGTCAAATTGCGGTATGCAATAGCATTATTTTTTTCTTGGGTTTCTTTGGTCTTTATTTTGAGTCTTTGTTTTGGGCAGTTGGGCTTTTTAGATCTTTAACTTTAATTTATTAACACAACAATTACTTTCTTTTTAATTATCAACCAAAGTTGAGCTTTTTAGATTTGAACCTATCGCTTGCGATTAGCTCATTCATGGATATTTTTTCTATTTTGTTTTGTAAAACTTGTTTAAGTTGATGGTCTGATGTTGAAACTATATTCTTAATTAATGCAAATGATATGTTTATGTATGCATATATATATATATATATATATAATTCTAATGTGAACCGCTACTTTTGGACCGCTATACCACTGCTTTCAAATATCAGTCATGGTCACACTTTTGTATTTTCACCGCTATAACAACACAAAATGAAATACGATTGAAGCATATGTGATACTTCTTAATCATAAGAAAAAGTAACATTCCACCGGTCTTCATCATTTTGAATAAATTGTTTGCAATTTTGCACTCATTGGTTTCATGTGGAGTGCAGATAGGTGTTGAAGGGAGTACTAATGGGCAATGGTGGCAAGATGCCATAGGGAAGGCTATGGGTGAAGGATCTGTTTTCGAACGTGTAGGATCTCGGCAGCTCGCGGGCCTGCTCATAGCCATTTGGTATTACTTCCACAAACACACAGCTGTAACTGAAAACTGAACTCTTATATTCTGTAATTTTTGCCTAAACGGCTTCCTAAAAGCTTCCAACTTTCAGTTCTTGTATATGTTACATTATTGAAATGTATCTCTTTTTAGGGTAAGAAAGAGTCTTAGAACACACGTAGGCGATCTTGATGTTGCAGCAGTTGCTTGTGGCTTGGGCCGTACATTTGGTAATAAGGTATGCATGTTGTTTTGTAAAACGTCTTTACTTCTTGTGTACAATACCCTAAACCACAAACCACAAACCAAGAAAAGTATTTTCATCTTGATGGTGTAGCATATTCAGGGTTCTTGGGACTGAGAACTAGAAATATATGTTTCTTGGCTCTTACTTAGAGCTGGATAAAGTAAAGAGATGTTACAAGTGATGATACTTATTGTTGTTATGATCAGGGGGGTGTAGGGTTGAGATTGAGAGTTTATGATCGAATAATGTGCTTTGTAAACTGTCACCTGGCGGCACATTTGGAAGCAGTCAATCGTCGGAATGCTGATTTTGACCACATTTACCGAAATATCACATTTGGGCGATCGATCAACAATGCTTCTGGTATGGCGCAATACCTGTTTTTGTGTTGCTCTCTTGCCTTCACATATTTATTTTGGGTGCTTTATTCTTCCTTTGGCTTGCCATGGGTACTCCTCATTCTTTCAGCTGGTGTGTCTTCTACTGCTCAAATGCTTCGTCCTGCTACTGTAAGTATCTACGGCCATAAAACCATCATTCAGCATCTTCTATGCTTCAAAACCACTATCAAAATAGATTAAAACCACGGGCGTTTCACTTGGTAATTTACACACACACACATGGGTTATTTAAGAGAACGACCTAACAGATTTACGAACACTTCCGCTCAACACAAATGCCACTTCCTAATATAAAAATGCCTCAAAATCTGACAAAAAGTTATTCTCCTAGATAACCCCACACACATACACACATAAAACTGAAACTCTTGTATAGATGGGTCATTTAGATATATAACCTTAAATGAGATTTTAATTAAATCTATGGCCTTCTCACCTACAAAAAGAAAATTGGTTTCATACTCATCGGAAGTCCATGGATTTAATTAATTATCTCCCTATATAGATATAGCTATTGTCAATCAAATTTCCATCCTGATGATTTGTTCTAACTTCCCAGTTATTTTCCTTATTAACAGTCTGTGGCTATCAACCCTGATGAGGGGAAGCCTGATCTAGCAGAAGCTGATTTGGTTATCTTCTGTGGCGACTTCAATTACCGTCTATTTGGAATAACTTATGACGAAGCAAGGGACTTTGTTTCTCAAAGGAGTTTCGATTGGCTGAGAGAGAAGGACCAATTGCGAGCTGAAATGAAAGCCGGGAAAGTGTTTCAGGGAATGAGGGAGGCAATCATCAAATTTCCTCCAACTTATAAGTTCGAGAGAGGGAAACCAGGTTTAGGAGGTATATTCACCAGTTTAGATTGATGGAGGAAGCTCAGTTATGAACCATAAATATTTTGAAAACCATGAGAACCAACTACTCATAAGTTATACATCATGAAATATCATTCATTTTTATTATTCATAATATTCATCATGAATATCTATTAATGCAACAATCCGACAACCCGTCCTACATGGATAGAAAATGAGACAAGTCTCAAGTTATGGGCTACCAATAACTTCCACCGTGATTTTAAGTTAAATTCGAAGTTATTGGGCCAACCTGTTGCTTTGGGCTTGGGGTGTTGTTACGATTGGTATCATACCCGATCTTTGTACCATTGGGATGGTGGGGCAAACCTCATCTAGCGTGATGAGTCCTTGAGAGGGTTTCTTGTGACATCTTAGGAGAATCCCACATCGCCGATTACAAGGAGGATGTTGGGAGACCTAGTGAGGACGTCAGGATTTAAGTGTGGGAATTTGTAACAACCCGTCAAGTTGTGGCCACCAATAACTTCCACTGTGGTTTTAAGTTGAATTCGATTTATTGAGCCAGCTGCTGCATTGGTCTTAGGGAGTCATAATCACAATATTAATCATGAATAATTTATGAATGCCTGGTTCTCAGAATATTTACAGTTCTCACATGAACCTACCCCTAGGTTGATGAAGATGAACAAGAAATATTAAGTGACATGACGCCTTATTGATCTTTCTTTTTCAGGATACGATTCCGGGGAGAAAAAGCGTATTCCTGCCTGGTGTGATAGGATATTATATCGAGACAATCGTTCTTCTCCAACATCAGAATGCAGCTTAGCATGCCCTGTTGTTGCTTCAATTTGGCAGTAGGTCTCTGGGGAACTTCCCTCCTTTTACCCTATGTTGTATTCTTTAAAATCATTTTTCTTCCTGATTGCATTTGCAGGTATGAAGCTTGTATGGACGTGACAGAAAGCGATCACAAACCCGTTCGCTGCAAGTTTAAAGTTCAGATTTCCCATGTTGATAGATCAGTAAGAAGACAACAGTTTGGGAAAATATTCATGTCCAACGAGAAAATAAGATCTATATGTGAAGAATTACGCTGTGTTCCAGAAATTGCACTTAGTACGAACAAGATAGTCCTTCAAAATCAAGACACGCGTTCTTTGACGATCACCAACAGAAGCAACAAAGATGATGCCATGTTTCAAATTTTATGCGAAGGGCAGACTGCCGTCAAGGACAATGAAGAGGCAGAGTATCGGCACAGAGGTTCATTTGGATTTCCTCGTTGGCTTGAGGTATTCACTTGTTACTTGAAAAACGCTATATCACTGATACATACAATTTTGTTCTAGCAGCAACATATATCGTGAGAGTATGTGGGACCCACATTAGATTACTCTCTTTTGGAGAGGATGCAGGTTCCAACATAAGTTGAGGAGAAATGGTACAAAGTTTAACCAATGTGGCACCCCAACACCCCCTAAATGGAGGCTAGATTGGCATTAATTGTCCTAGAGTGTCTAGTCTAGACCGCCTTTGATACCATGTAAGGATATTGTGGAATTCCATAACAATACAATAACTTTGTTCTGCCAACGATTGGTGTTGCGACATTGGACTGGGACTGGACAGGACCTGAATGGGACAAAAAACTTTTTTCCCGTCCTACCAAAATAGGTTGAACAAAAATCAGGGGGAGTTGAACATGATTAATAAATTACTAAACTACCCATATCAAATTCAAACCCTAAACCATCCACAGTTATTTCACCTGCCTACCTCACTCTTACCCATCCAGTCCAGTCCCATTTACTTACCAAATGCACCCGGTGTCTGTTTCCTACATCATCATCGAGGCTGGAGTCTGTGTCATTTTATACCTATATTACAGAGGGCTGTGACAGTTGTTTTATTAATTTTGCTGCTTTCATCAAGCAATCTAAGGGGCTGTTTGGTTGGTTTTCCATTATGTTCTATATGAATAAAGCGGACTATGTGGATTAATCTGTCTGTATGGATTGAAAAGATTTTTGTTTGGGAGGCTTTTTCCATAGATGAAAGGATGATGTTTTTAATTGGAAGGGGCATGTTTCGAAAAAACGCTTTTTGCATAAAGCTCCCTCCTAGAAACTTACTGAATAAGCCACTTTCTGTATAATTAAGCCACTACCAAACAGTCATAAATAGCTCTCCGAATAAGCTGTGAGCCCCATTAAGCTCATTCAGCTGCTAACAAACAGGCCCTTGAGCAACTACTGGCCACTCTTGTTTTTGTAGGCTCTTTTTAGACTAAAAAATTGACACTTGCAACTATGGTGTAGGTGGCCCCTGCTGTTGGCATAATTAAACCTGGGAGTTCAGCAGAAGTTTCTATACACCATGACGAAACACATACCTTTGAAGATTTCTCAGAGGGGGCCCCACAAAGTTGGCGGTCTGAAGACACCCGCGACAAGGTAGTTATCTTATCCGTAGTAATTAGAAGCAGCCGTTCGACTGAAACAAGAAGTCACCATTGTCAAGTACGCCATCCCTTCTCTCCCAAGACCACAACGAACCCTGAACCATCAAAAGCTCACGGTTCTAAAAAACATCAAGGAGGTACTCACCACCGGTCTTTTGCTAAGCACTCTGATAGGGGTGATGAACATCAACGAAGTAGACATGATTAATCTTGAATTAGCTAGTAAATACAGAATGAAAACTAGACCGATGCAAGCCCATTGTTCCTAGACAAGAAAACACGGCTACTTGATGTAAATACTACATGCTGATGGAGTGCCAGATTCCAAGTTCCTTGATCATTTTTGGCAACAGATTGAGATCTATTTTGTTGTTAAATTTTGTGCAATAGGCAGCTTAAATTGTTGAACCAACTGATTACAACTATTTGTTAAATGTATGAAGGAAATGGGTAGAGGTACCTAGCATTTGTTGGCGATATCCCAAGGATTTGGATCTTTTTTTACACTACCTACAACTGCTGCTATACCTCCCAATTGATAGATGCTGAATGATTAAGAACACAATTTAGTATATACTGAAAAATGGTTGTTTGGTAAGTGTTTTGAATGGACAGTCTGAATGACAAAAAATTACCATTTTAACACTCTGTATGATTTAATGCCTGATGAAAAAAGGAAAATCATGTCCCAGCACTGAAATGATCAAATTTTAGTGCAATCATGATTCATCAAAAACCGTTACAAACCAAACAAGCCCAGTATATTCCGGTGTAAGGTCTGGTTTAGGGATGAGATGTATATAGACCTGTGGATAGAGTAAAAACACTATTTCCATTGCATTCCCAACCCAAACAACATGATATAAGAATTGCATTGAAGTTATACTATTGATTATATACAAGCATAAACTACTGATGATTAGGGTTTATTACACAGAGTTTGATAGACTCACAGGAAGAACAATCAACACTGGTCATCCGGGGCCTTCATCTCTGCGTTGAGTCCCATTTTGATCCACATGTAGCTCGCAACAATGGAAATGGCGCCGATCCAATAATGGACCTCTTAGACAACTAAAAACCCCAGTATATCCCACTCGAAAGCAGTGCTTGCAATTATATCTCACCATATACGAATACCCGCAAACCTCATTTGCTTTTAGACAGCATACATTCTCTTATATTTCTCACTGTACTCGGCATCTGAAGCCATGGACATCGAGAAAGAATGCGAATGAGTCTCGGCCCGCCTAATATTTCGCATCTTGGTCTCCTCCAGCCTATGCCGCACAACACAATAGCACATCGACCCGATCGTTGTCAGCATAATCGTGGCACCAATTACAGTCGCATAAATGGCAAGCCATCGTTCATGAGTTCCCACGACCACATAGGTGAGCGAAATGAAGGCAACAGATATAAAAAGGCATGCTAGCCACATAAGTTTGTTAATAACAAACATAAGTTGCCTCTTAGCCTTCTCTTCTATCACCACAATTGAAGTCTGAACCACCACGACTGCCAACGAGATAAAAAGCGCCAAACTGTCGAACAAAAAGAAGAGGATAAACGCAGCATTCTTGGCTATGTGGGCCTGCCCCACAGTAAAACCATCGGTTTTCTCTTCAACGTACTGCCCAGGTACAGTGAAGATGGCTGCAAAAGCAACGGTGGCTATAAGGACAGCAACCACAGTAGCGGAATTTATAGCGTTGTTGAGACCGCTGATGTGCAGCTTCTTGACCTTCTTTGCAATCTTCCGGACCCTGAATCCAGTTTGGCGTGTTTGTCGGATTTGGGACTGAACGTCGTGTTTTATGTCACTGACGGTTTGCTTGAGTTGTTTTGCAGCACTTGGTGGTTTTCCGTAATCTTTAGAGTGAACAGCTCCTGCTTCCCGTAAAATATCAACCATTTCTGAAAATTTTAAGTTCTCGGCAATGTCGAGAGGAGACTCTCCAGCCTTGTTTACCGCATTGATGCTGATCTCCTCAAATGATAGCAGGCATTTGACGATCTGTCCGTTACACACGATAGGATATCAGGAAATTTTAATACAGCTTCAATTTTAATCGTTATAAAGATGCAACTCGCTACAACAAAATCAGGCGTCAAACATGTTTAAATGTTCTAATAGACTGTTTTGTAGGACGAAACAATTGTACGACCTATGTAAAAGTGTTACAATAAGTTGATAAGACACCCAAAAGCGACCTATCAACTTATTGTAACACTTCACATAGGACACACAATTGTTTGGTCACGTAAAACTTAAGTCTTGTAAAACGGTCTATTAGCACATTTAGATATATTTGGCGTCCTATAAATCCAATTTTGTTGCAGCGATTTTCAATGATCGGATAAACAAGCTGAGAGTGTGAAGGAAAGACCTTAGTTCGGCCCTTTTTTGTTGCAATATGAAGAGCTGTATTCCCCTTGTTATCTTCCAAACTCAAGACCGTTGGATCAGGTTTGATTAATTCAACCACGATATCTATATTTTGGCCCTTAACCGCCATGTGCAGAGCCGTTTGGCCTTTCTTGTCAATCCTGAAACCGATGCTCGGATCCTTGCTTAAAACAGATTTTGCCACTTCCAAATGGCCCATTCTTGCTGCAGTATGAAGCACCGTCTTACCATTGTTTCTGGCTATCTTGGCAAGGTTTGAATCCGCATCAAGAAGCAGGTTGACTACATCAATGTGTCCCTGAGCAGCTGCTGTGTGCAAGGCGGTTGAATTGGACGAGTCCGTGGTCATGACCAGATTCGGGAAAGAATTCAAAAGTTCCCTCAGAACCTCTGCAAACGTTGCACAATTAAAATTATGCTCAAGAAACATGGGGAGTGTAGGTGATTTTAGTGTCGTTTAGCCCATTTGGTGTAATTGAGATTTACAAGATACTTATCGAGTTTTGCTTAAGCTATACTATGAGTTAGGAGGTGCAGAATGTGTGTATGAGCTAACTTGAACCCGGGATCACCATATGTTGCGACTGATGCTAACGCTGATTGTTCGTATCCGTTGGTAACCACCCTAACCTCCTACCTTTAGAAAGAGTTCTCATCATACTCAACTTTTACATATGAAAACTATACCTGTGTGACTTTCATTATCCTCGAGTAAATTTCGTGATACTCAAGGCGTTAATAGGGTCGAAATATTACACCATCCAAGATTCTATCCAAGTTGAATCACTTAATTCATCATGAACCCTAGTTCTCTAACAGGGATCAATGCATAATGGATATGAACTTCAAAAACCTCAGTATATGAACATCTTTCCCAAGTTCTTTGTCTAGAATTTGTGCAATCTTTAGGATTAATCAAAACCCTTTTAGGGTTTATACATAAAGCTAATGAAGGAACCAAATTTATCAGCAAGATTTCCACTTTAAGTCGACCAAAAACAGCAATCTAACAAGTGAATTCAAGTAATCAGAAGGGTAAAAACATACCTAGATGTCCCTGTTTTGCAGCAATGTGAAAAGGGTCATAGCCATTATTGGCAGCAATGGAGGCAGTTTGAAGATCCAAGTGTTTAAGAAACTCGATTACAACATGAGAGTGACCATTTTCAGCAGCAACATAAAGAGGAGTCTCCCCTTCTTGATTCTGTTTCGATAACAGGTTGTTTGTGATGGCATTACTGTCATCAAGACCAGTACTCTGAAAGATTTCCATAATCTTGCAGAGATTACCTCCTCTAGAAGCCAAATGGAGCATCGAATCTCCTCGTTTTCCAGGGGAATCTTTAGGTTTCCGAAGGCTCATCTGTCGACCCAAAGCTATTCGAAAGCTTTTCTGCTTTTCCATGGCAGCAATACGAAAACTCTGCTGTTTTTCCATCTTCCCCATCCGGAAACTAATCTGTTTTTCCATAACGATCAACACCCAGAATCAAAAGATGGACGAATCAGAGGAAAGACTCTTGAAAAGCATCAGATTTCCATTAGAAACATGGCAGAAACTCCAAGATTTCTTGATGGAGAGTGAGAAAGGGTCAAGAGACCTGCAACTGGAAAAAGGAAACAGACTTTGATGAAGATAAAGATTTGGGTAAATGAATCTAAAGTGAAGTTAGGCAGAGATGAAAGGGGGGAAAGATAAGTGGCCGCCATGGATGGATGAACCGAATAATGCGATGGGTCGGCGGGACCCACATTGGTCCATGAATAATTGGTATTTGGGACCCTCAACAGCCATCATTCCACAAAGCAAACAGAAATGCCTTCATTCAGACAAAAGTTGTTCGCAATCATGGAGATAGAGAAGGGAATGGTGGAGGTTGGCCTGCAAGATATGGACGAAAAAATAATGCAAAAATCATAAATAATTATCAAGAATCATACTTCTGAAAACAACCCATATCCAATCTCACTCTTTATATCGTCTTAAATCATTAAATTTGTTAAAGAAAACATGTTTTTAAGGGTTTGATCTTGGTGAGAATTGACAGAAACCCAATTATTTTCCCTTTTTTTTTTTGAATTGATGAAACGTGGAATCTGTTTATAAAACCAAAACAAGAGTCAATGTTGGTGGTGATGGTGATGGTGATGGTGATGGTGATGTTGATACTACTACTAGTTAAAGGTCAAAAATTATGTCGTTATGAATGCTAAATAATTATATATACATGGAAGAAAGTAGGGACGAAAGAGAGAAGAAAGGGGAGGGTTTTGAAAATCTGGCATTTTGAGTCATCATTGGTTACTTGTTCTAGAAACGGTTTTTCATGGTTAGGTCAAGCAGCCTCTCGTTTGCTTCCAAACAGATGGTGGATTCAATTCGATTCAATCCGTGAATAAAAACTAGGTTTTTGAACTATTCTTTAGAGTTTCTTATGGTTATGATATTCAGTGTTATATGGGATTTTTAGTTGAGTTGATTACAGATTGTCTGGAGCTCCAGAGACGCCTGTACTTGTGAAAAAGACGGATGATCCATCAAGCTTATTCTTTTCACCATCCATCAGGATTTTTCCGATTGAATATGGAATACCATCAACATAATCTTCTCTTGTACAAGTAATGATATGAGAGATGAAACCAAACTTGACTTGAGTTTTTGAAAACGTTTTTTTAGTGTGATGTCAAGTCGTACAATTTGGTCACGTCAATGGTCTTACCATGAAGGTTCATTTAGCCAATTAGTGAGGGAAAGAAAACCACTCGTTGTTCTAACACTAGAAGGGTACTCACGCAATGCAGTGATATACATCTTGATTTTAATATTTCTTTTTATTCTTTATCTTAATCGATGTTATAGTATGGTCTTATGTGATTTTGAAAAAAACGATAATGTTTTTATTTTTGAATAAAATATAAATTTGAAAATATCATAAAAAATAAAAAAAATATATCGATATTTGTAATAGTCTGGTTATTATTTTAGTTATATATATATATATATATATGTTATGTATATATGTTTGGATATGTGTGTGTATATTATTTGAAATAAAGAAAATAGGGGGAGTCGGCTATTGAGCCGCCCCTCACTTCCCCTAGATATTGTGTATGTATATATATAGTTGTTGTGAAGAAAAACACATACATACACCTACTATATTTGGAAAGTTGCTCTGGAGAGTTTTAAAGATTTGCACAGGAAGAAGAAGAAGGTCTCAAAAGGTTTTGATTCTCATTTMAAAAAGGTGAGTGTATTAAGAGCTTTGGATATGAATAGCTTACATACAGTTTGTTAAGCTATTGGAACTGATTATTATGTATTTTGGTATCATTTTGTGTAAGTTCTTGATTAAACCGTACAAGTGTTGTCCGGATTGAAATCCGGATAACTAAACYGCCCATGCCTTGTCTGGAGTGTCTTATAAACCGGACAAGAGGTGACCGGATATCATATAAACCGGCCAAGAGGTGATCGGTTTATTTCTAAACCGCTTGTGTGTCAAAAGGTTTGTCTATAAACCGGCCAAGGGGTGACCGGTATACTCTAAACCAGTCAAAAGGTTAAGTGATGTATTGTCCGGTATACTCTAAACCGGACAAAGGKTGTGTGGTGTATCGTCCGGTTTATTATAAACCGGACAACGTTATAATTGAAGTATTGTCCGGACTTGTAATCCGGACAAAGATGTTAGTTATTTTCAAAGTATTTTGACCGGATATGTAATCCGGACAATGATGACCGGACTTCAAGTCCGAATGAAAAGAAAATGTTTTTGGGAAATGTTTTTGAAATATAATGGCAGTGTAATTGCGAGTGAGATGGCGGTGTAACCGCGAGAGTGATATAATGGCAGTGTAACTGCGAGTGAGATGGCGGTGTAACCGCGAGAGTGATATAATGGCAGTGTAACTGCAAGTGAGATGGCGGTGTAACCGCGAGAGAGATATATAATGGCAGTGTAACTGTGAATGAGATGGCGGTGTAACCGCGAGAGAGAGATATATAATGGCAGTGTAACTGCGAGTGAGATGGCGGTGTAACCGCGAAAGAGATATAATGGCAGTGTAACTGCGAGTGAGATGGCGGTGTAACCGCGAGAGAGATATAATGGCAGTGTAACTGTGAGTGAGATGGCGGTGTAACCGCGAGAGAGATATAATGGCAGTGTAACTGCGAGTGAGATGGCGGTGTAACCGCGAGAGAGAGATATAATGGCAGTGTAACTGCAAGTGAAATGGCGGTGTAACCGCGAGAGAGATATAATGGCGGTGTAACCGCGCGCGAGAAAGAGATATGAGATTGTAATGGCGGTGTAACCGCGAGAAACATAAATGTGATATGTTTCGGAACAGGTTTGATTCTAAACTGATTGTTTGGAATGTATATTGTTATATGGGATTATACACTCACTAGACCTTTTGGTCTAATGCTCAGATGTTGGACTAACCTGTTTTGCAGATCAGCGTAAGTTGAAAGATAAAGGCAAGGGAAAAGTCTGAATAATGATAATAGTTTACTCGTTTATGTATTAAGAATATATTTTGATAGTCTATGTTTTGTAATGATACTATTTTAGTATTATGAGTATGATGATGTGAATTTTATGTATATGGAATATGAGGGTTGTTACAGTTGGTATCAGAGCCTTAGTTTAAGGGATCTGGGTATTTGCGAAATACTTAGACTTAAACTAGAGGTGTGGAAAGTTAAGATAATAGGTTTCACTGAGTCTATGAACATAAGAATATGTTATAGCTGAAACTATTATGAGAAAGGTAGATTATATATGATTGATATAATCTGAGTTATGAGTGGGCATGAGGATAWATGTGTTATTATGTTATGATTATGAGAATAATCATRTGTGTTTAAATGTGACAGAAAAGATTACGTACTGAGAAATGGCAGATAATCYMAATCAATCGGAAAGGACCTCTGCTGGCTATGGAAGAGGTCGGGGAAGAAGGAATGTTACGCAAGAAGAGAATCCAGAAAATGTAATAGAAACACGAAGTCGTAGTAGAGGATGAGGAAGAGGTCAAGATACTAGACAAGAAACTCGTGGGGAACAGGAATTTTCGGCTCAAGAAAGTTCAATGTCTGGCCGAGGTCGAGGAAGAGCGAGGGGTGGACATAATGTTTCCGACCCTGAATATATTACTCAAGATATGTTGGCAGCTGAGCTGGGAAAATTTCAGGAGAGTTTGGTAAATTTGTTAAGGCGTACAAACCAAACTAGTCCAAATGTGGTAAGAAATTCTGATCAGGAGGAAACTGGAGCTAGTACACCGGTAACTGGTACATCTGTACCTATTACTGCGTCCTCGATGCAAAAAGGAGGAGATATCAAGATGTTTCTTGCTTGTAAACCTCCTAAATTTTCTGGTGAACGTGATCCTGTTAAAGCAATGTGTTGGCTTAAGGAGATCGAGTTAAGTCTGCAAATCAGTAAAAGTGCAGAAGAAGATAAAGTTATGTTTGCTGTATCTCGTTTGAGATCAAGTGCTTTGTACTGGTGGGAAGTTTTGTCCAGTTCAGACCCGAACATTCTGAAAACCATGGTTTGGGAAGAATTTGTGGTAAAGTTTAAGATGCAGTATTGTCCTGAAGCTGCAGTTCAAAAGTTGGAAGATGATTTCCTTCGTCTTGAACAAGGAAACATGTCGGTCCGYCAGTATAYAGAAGTYTTCATGGAACAATCTAGGTTTGCTGAAGCCTATATTATATCTGAAAACAGCAGGGTGAGAAAGTATATCTGGGGATTGGAGTCAAATCTTCGAAAGTATGTGATATCCAGGAATCCGACAACATTTCAAGCGGCAGTTGATGCTGCTGAAATATTGGAACAGGATATTAACCGGCAACCGCAAGAAAGGGTTGGAGAGAAGAGAAAAAGGGAAGCTACGTTAACTGATTTCCGTAGACTGAGGTTTATGGAAAATGTGAATCGACCAGTCTCAAGGTTTAATGATAAGGTGTGTACTCGATGTCATAAAATACATCAAGGAAATTGCAATACAGAATCTCGAGTATGCTTTAAATGTCAGGAACCTGGACACATAGCACGAGACTGTAGGGTGACGAGGAGGTGTTTTACTTGTAATTCATCTCAACATATAAGTACTGATTGTCCGCAAGTAAAGAATCGAGGGTTTGGTTTTACTGGAGGTCGGGGATTTGGATATTCTGGGGGTCGAGGATCTGGGTATGTGCCAACAGGTCGTGGCCAAGTGGAAAATCGTGTTAATACTAGTGGACGAGGAGGAACAAGACATATAGAATCTAATGCAAGGGAGAGTCTTTCAGATGACGAGAGGTGAGGCGGAAGAGCACCCTGAAGTGGTAACAGGTACATTCCTTGTTAATTCAGTATGTGCCAAAGTTTTATTTGATTCGGGTGCAAATCGTTCTTTTGTGTCACCATCATTTGTTAACTGCGCACATTTAGAATCTAAAGCATTGAGTGAGGNGAGTGAGATGGCGGTGTAACCGCGAGAGAGAGATATAATGGCAGTGTAACTGCAAGTGAAATGGCGGTGTAACCGCGAGAGAGATATAATGGCGGTGTAACCGCGCGCGAGAAAGAGATATGAGATTGTAATGGCGGTGTAACCGCGAGAAACATAAATGTGATATGTTTCGGAACAGGTTTGATTCTAAACTGATTGTTTGGAATGTA